CGTCGCAATGTTTCAACAGAATAACGATTTTTCACCCTGTTAAAAGCAGAAGGAGAAAGAAAGAAAGCAGAAAATGTTGATAGCAAGATAACGATAAGGATAAAGGATAATTATATATTTTTGCTATCATTATTATTTAGGATTGGTTTTGAAAAGTGTTAGTTCTAAAAAATCAATGCCTTTCCCTGTTGAAATGAACATTTAAGTTTTAAATTTCAAAGATTCATATATATCTACCCATTCGTGAATCAGAAACTTCTGAACACCTCTTATGACACTTATGCTAATAATATTAATAAGTGCAAAAACATAATAATTATATTTTAAAAAATAAAATATGCCTTTTTAAAAAAATATATGCCTTTTCTTCTCATCATTAATTGGTATTAATATTTGTAAAAATCAGTATTAATTAGTAAAATTCGCCTTAAAATACTTCTGACAATGTCTAATATTATTTCATAAAATCAAGCAGATAAAAGCAAATATTTCAATTAAAAAACTAGATCACCCATCCAGACTAATCAGCAGTGATGCAATTAAAGAGAAGACCAACCTCCACTAGCATGCTACGTGGATCTTTTGATTTGTTTCTCTTTTTAGTTGCGTTTCTACACCAACCTGTTAATGCAGAGCCTAAGGTTAAAAACCATATACTTATGTAATATTTTATATCTTAATTGTTTTTGTAATATTTAATTTTAATTGCAAAATTAAAAAAAAACATATTTTGTCTTTGGCAGACACCAACGGAGATAAGAGAGTTTCGCGTGCAATTTTTGAAGGAACACAACAAGATGAGGTCGCAGGCTCTGTGGCAGGCTGCCAACATGAGAGAACTGGTTGGTTAATTGGTTGACTGGTAGTTTGGCTGGTTGATTGGTTGGTTTGTTTAGTTGGTTGATTGGCTGGTGTTGACTTTTATGTGTGTACTGCTATGATCCCGCTGCGCTATTGTCCTGTAGTTTCTTGCTACTGTCGTTGTTTGTGCTTTTTATTTTGTTGTTGTTTATGTTGTTCATGCTAATGTTTTTTCTACGTCGTTGTTTGTTCTGTTTTTGCTGCTGCTGCTGATGTTATTGTTGTTATGTTATTGTTGTTATCGCGACTGATAAAAACACGCACCAATTTGTTTCTTCCTTGTAGTATTATTCCTACGAACTTGAAACTTTGGCTCAAGAGAAAGCCAACAAGTGCAAACTCAACCAGACAACTGACAGGTAGTGATGATAATAATGATGATGTTGATGATGATGATGCCAATAATGATGGCGTGATGATGATAACGATGATATGGTTACTGGTTATGAGATGATGATTGTATGTGATGATGTTGATGTGATTTTTACAACTGAGATAACAATGACAGTGATGATAAATAGATACATGGCGAAAAAGATGTTTCTGAAGATGTCAATGATAAAACTGTCAAAAGCTTTTTTTTAATTTAATTTTCTTCAAAATGAACAAAAATATTTATATTTCACTAGCTCCAAGGGTTTCAACGAGTTTCAAGGTATGCATTGTCGTGAAGGAATATAAAATTACATAAATATTTATTCACACACAGCCAGACGACTATAACATTTTCAATGTCGGTTTACTGAGAAATTTTTATTTTTCAGATAAAACTGGAAAGGACTTCCCAAACGTTAAAAATATAATCGAAAGCTGGTTGAAAGACGAAGATGGCTCAAAAAAACAAGTGGGTGTAGTGTTGTAAACAGTCAATCAATTAATTAGTATTAATTAATTAATTAAGGGTTAATTAATTAAATTTATTATTTTGAAGTTGTTGATGGCCTCAGTTTCAACAGTTGGCTGCGGTTATTCATACTGCGAAGTTCATAATGAATATCTAGTGGCATGTCTCTACGACCAAAGGTTCAGAGTTGACAATTACTTATGAATTAATTAATTAAACTGTTTCTAATGGAATAAATTAATTAAAAATTAATACGTACATAAATATAAATGTGTTTTTTTAATGAATGAATCAACTGTTATAAATAGGAAATAGAAAGGTTTATAAACAATGCAAAAGTTTTGTAAAAAAATTTATTGATGCCAAAAATAAACGATTTATTAGACAAATTTGTAAGGAGATATTTAAAAATTGTTGTTAATAATTATAGAGAAAATTTTAAAATTAATTTTTTATTAATTGGTTTTTTAAAAGTGCGAAATCACTTCCAAATGGGGCTTTTTCGTATGAGAGAGGTGATCATGCTAGTAAGTGTCCCGAGGGATATGAACGCAGTGGAACTTTATGCAGTAAGTTCAGATGTTGGATTGCATGTTTGTTTGTATATTTGCTTTTTTGTGTGTATGTTTGCTTGTTTGTATTCATGTTTGTTTGTTCGTTCGTATGTTTATTTTATATGTGATGTTTGTGTAGCTAAGTGAATTGTAATTAGAATAACGAATTATTCTTAACAAAAAAAAATAAATGAAAGACAAAGAAAATAAGTAAACTTCAGTAGTGATAACATTGTAATACTACATTGAAAAGCACACACACATACACACAATCTTACAAACTCACAATAAAATAACTAAATTCAATAATATTAAAAAAAAACATTTAGAACACTTCAATCCATTGAGAAAAACAATCTAGAGTAAGTAATGAAATAACAATACCATCAAACTCACCCAGGACCACTGAATCCAGTTTGCAGCAAGCATCCTGATACTTGTCGCAACATCAATCCTTCCAGCTGCATATGTGGTTTGTATCCCTTGTGTCGCTTCACACACACACACACACATATACTACACACACACAACACACACACATCACACACATACATAACATAATATAATAATATAACAGTATTTACCAAATTACGTCAGATTAGTTAATAATAATTTGGGCAGACGACAACAAGAGTGAGGAGGTTGGTCCGACGGACGAACCGGAAGACTACATGTCTTTTCCTCTCTCAGATTCCGCCCTACATTTGCATCAAAACATTCCCATACTCCTTCCAGTTATGCTGCTGCTACTGCTGCTACTGCTGCAGCTGTAGTTGCAGTTGGTAGTCGATGAGGTTGTAATGATTGCGTTATAATGTTCTTTTATTAATATTTTCCATTTTGTCAATCGTGGAAGGGATTGTTCTTTTTAATAATAGTAATAATAATGCTAATAATAATACCATCATAATAAAAATAATCATAATAAAAAAATTATTACCAACGACTACTATTGATTATTTTGTAATGGTCAATTTTATTCAAATGTTATCATAATTATGTTCGTTCTGGATTGTGCTGATAAAGATTTATTTATTAAATCGCTTAGCTAAGTAAAGCGGTATCTATTTTCTAAGAATAATAAGGTCATCATTATATTATCACTATTACGTCATCTTCTTTATATTGTCGTCATTGCTGTTTAGTTAACATTAGGCTATAATTATATTACGTGGATCACTAATTGTTACCAACAATATGCAAGATGTATCGTTTGGTTCTTTAGTTTAAAAAGAAATTCACACCCAGAAAGTCGTTAAAAACTTCTCATTGCTAAGATCATATTCTGTTATTGTCAACATTTCGAAACTGGAGTTATCGTCATTATTAACAATGTGTGTGTGTGTGTGTGTATGTGTATGTGTGTGTGTGTGTTTGTATGTGTCTGTATATGTGTGTGTGTATGTGATCTTGTGATCTCTCTCTCTCTCTCTGTGTGTGTGTGTGTGTGTGTCTGTCTGTCTGTCGTTGTGTGTGTGCGAATTTTCTGTGAGAGTAATTTTAAAAATCACACATCACATGTTCAAACGGATATTACAAACGCCAAAACCTTAAATTTACTTGCCGTAAGTCAAATCACTACCCTTAAACATGAATACAAGCTTCAAAGTCTAGTAGATAAAATGGATCTTAATGATTTTCTGGCAAAATGCACACGCCGTCATGCCATTGAACCTCAAAAATTTGATTATGCAGAAGGAGTTATTCATTTGAAATCTGAATTCGACAACTAATTAAATAAAAAGAAGATATAACAAGATATACAAATGATATACTAAAGATATATAAATGCTATAGCAAAAACATTCAATAGATATAGAGCTATTAAAGATAAATAAAGATATACTAAAAATTTATACGATAGATACGTAAAAATAAATAAAAAATATTTGGAAATGAAAAGATTTAAAAAATATCCACCCATAAAAACTATTTCAATTGAGAAGGAAACAATAACGACGTATGAATAACTGATTTATGAACCATACTCACGTGAATGATTATTTCTGTACTATTGTGCTATTACATGTCTCTTTGAAGTTATGTTTGATGTTATAAATATTTATTTAGCAAAAAGAGAAGACCAAAAATTGAAAACTTTTAAAAACTTGAAGTGAATTTCAAATAAAATTCTGGTAAACTTGTACAACACAAAAATTTATAAAAGTTGAACAAATTAAAAAATATTGAATTCGTTTTTATTTTCATTCATCAAACCTAAAACAATGGTTTTGTTATCATAAAAAATAAAAAAAAATCTTCACGACGACCTGAAAAGTAACGAACGAACGCATGGCTGTCACAAAAATGCTTGCTTCCATTCAGTTGGCAAATAATTGACATTTAACATGCACGAGGCAATCGTTAAATTGCCCGTGTGTCTTAAAAGCATAGAGGCTTCTTTGAAAATAAAACAATACTAATCATTCTGCTGGAAAATACTTCAATTGATTTTATTAAAACTATTTCTCAGTAGCACGATATTCAATTGTAAATAAATTTTCATGGACTGGTTGCCGACCAAATCACAAACCTTCAAAAAGCTGCTTTAGCGAATAAAAAGCAGAAGCGATAAAAGAAAAAAATGTCCAGCTTATTATATTTCTACCAGTTTCTGTGCTTGAGTATAAATTTTTTGCACCTGAAAGCAAAGTGTTTCCAACCTTTCGGAAAAGATGGCAGAGGTTTTTGTGCGTGTGATTCATCTTACAACTCCACAAAACTACCACTGAATGTGGCTGACGAAGCTCTGCTGTTGTGTTCAATGAGGTGTTCTCAAACAGGCGCCTGTGTGGCTTTCAACTTTTGGATCGACTCCAACCAGTGCCAACTCTTCAATCAAACCATCAAGAAGTTCTCGTCTCTACCCAACTGCCAATATTACTTCGTAAAAAGTTAGCTTAGATTTAACTTAAATTATTTAATTTAAGTAAAAACGTAATACAAAATATTTTTAGAAAATCATGATGCTGAATTTTTTATTAACCAAACTTTGATGATAACCGTGGACAACACTTTGAAAGAATTTTATTACAATGAGATTCACGTGCCTAATTCACCTAATTTTCCAAATGCAAACGACTGGAAAGCGTTCGACCATTACCAACTGATTGGAAACATTTATGTTCTCGCTGTGTGGTCGTACAACGGAGGAAGCGCAGGTTAGGTTTGTTTGGTCATTTTAACTGAAAACGTTCCATCATTTATTGATGGGTGGCTTCTTTTATTTTGCCCAATATTTGTTATTGTACAATGTACAATAAATGTACATCTAACTTTGTAATAAAAGAGTATACATGATTAATTGACTGACTGGCTGACTGACTGATTGATTGAATGATTGATTGATTGATTGAACGGTGCGCCTTAAATATCTAAAACAAAAACTGACAACTTGCAGGCGGCCTCATTGCAAAAACGTACGATGATAAAATTCAAACTAACTTTACTTGGAAATGTACCAACAACTCATACGCTGGCTGGAATGAAGTGGGTTACGATGATTCATTCTGGCCCGATGCTGTTGTTGGCAGGAGGGAGAATGATTTAGCTCATGCTACTCCTGACTTCAAACCTGCTCTCTGGATCACTGATTCTACCGATTGTGGCGATTGCAAAGCAGATTACTATTGTCGCAAAGACCTTATAGGTTTTTTTGCCTATTTTTTGCAACGTTTATGAACGTTAAATTAAAATTTCAATACCTTATGCTGATAGTAATTAAATTTACAAATTGAAGTTAGATAGCTGAATGAATTGTATTTTTTTAAAGATTTCGTCCCAGCGAACCGCTGCTCATTAAACATGGCCAACTGAACGCCAACAACCATGAGATGAGGTTCATCACATAATTGTCCTCATTCGATTTTCATACAATTTTTTCATTTGCTTGCATAAATTTGAAAACTCAAAATGTTTGTTTCAACCTTTGAAATACAATATTTAAAATAATAAAATATATTTGATATGATTTTCAGACAAAGACGATACACACACAAACATACACACACACCACACACACATATATTCACTACATAAACACATCCACGCAAACACACACACACTCAAACGCACTTATATTTATACATACACACACACACACTCATATGTACTTAAAATATAAGATATACAATCATACATATTTTTTCCATTTAAAGATACAAACAAAAACCTTTATATTAATGTGTGTGTGTGTAAAAATTATTTAATCAAAAACATTTTTATTCTAAAATATTTTTTTCATAAACTTTTTTAAATTTTCCACCGGTTAAACGCTTCTTAAACCTTTTTAAACCTATCCAGAGTACCGGAGTTGCATATTTTTTAATTCGATTTGCTGTTTTTAACATGCTTCTACTGTTTGCAAGCCAGTCTAAATTACTGTTTACCATAACATAAAATATTGTTGTAGAACCAAAGATGTTGTTTGTTTTTCTTATAAATAAATAAAAAACATTCAAAACTTATTGAAAAGCCTTTTATAGACCATTCTTAAATATTCAACGTTTATTTTACTCTATATCTATCTTCGTTCAAATGAGGTGAAGTATTTCAAAATTTTCAAGCTGTTTTAAAATTTTTTTACTTGTTATTTATAGTGTGGACTTTTGTGTTGTTGAAATTATGATAAAATGTGGTGAAAAATTACTTCTGAATAAAAAAAAAACTAAAACCGCAAATAAAATGTATTCAGGTATAACTGAAGTGCCAAGCAAAACATTTATGGTGCTTGTAAGGTGTAAACGTGCTGACATGTGATTGAATAGTGAATTAGTTCCTATTTATCTTCAATCTCTTTAATATTCAATTTTTTTTATTTAAAAATGGTAAACCCTAAGAGAAAATAAAAAACAAGAACAGAAAATTTTAAAATGTTTTAACAACGCAGATTATATAGCTTCCCAACCGACATCTTATTAGCATATTATAGAAATAATGTGGCAGTAATTTGCGGTAACACTTCAAAATAACGCGCAGATAACATGCGCAAGATTTTAATGGAGTCTGTTATAATGATGGCAAAAAGAAATTGCTTTCAAAGATTTGACATTAGTGGAAAATACTTTTGTTCGTGTGATCAACCCATGGAGACAAGTACGTTGCTCGAGTCTGTTAGAACGTTGCTGTTGTGTTCGATGAGGTGTTCACAATCAGGCGCCTGTGTGGCTTTCAACTTTTGGATAGATTCCAACCAGTGCCAACTCTTCAATCGAACCATCAAGAAGTTCTCATTTCTACCCAAATGCCAATATTACTTCGTAAAAGGTCCGCTTAGACTCAACTTTTCAATTAAAAATATTAAACTAAAATTATTTTTATTAAAAATTCACGATGCTGAATTTTTCATCAATTAAATTTTATTGATTAATGCTGATAACGCAACAAATGAATTTATTTACAATGGAATTTCCGTGTCTATTGAATCAAATTTTCCAAATGCAAACTCTTGGAAAAGTTTAGACACATACCAACTGCTTAGAAACATTTATGCCCTTGCGTTCAAGTTACACAATGATGGAGCATTCGGTGAGGTCTTTCAGTTCAAAGGCATTTAGCCGTTTTGTTTTTGTTAAAATATAAAGCTTAAAAATGACTTTTTCAACTTAAACATGAAAATTATATCAAAACTTGAAAAATAAATCATAGTTATTTGTGCGATTCATTTAATCCCCGTCATAAAACTAACAATTTTAAATGCTAAAAAGTTTTATCATCAAACAATATTTATTGAATAAATATATATCATAAAAGTACTTAGCTTGTTTTATGAACAAATGACATGAACATGAACAGGTGGTTTGATAGCGAAGACAGCAGACAACTACATTCAGACCAATTCCTCATGGAAATGTACCGACCATTATTACGATGGATGGTACGAGGTGAGTTATGATGATACCTTCTGGCCTGAAGCTATCGCGGGAAGGAGAGAACAAGCAGTTCAACTTGCAGTGATTACAATGAAACCAGCTCAATGGATTGTTGATTCTACTGATTGTGCGGATTGTTTTGCTGACTTCTATTGCCGTAAAAATTTTCTAAGTAATGTTGTTATAATATTATCACTTGTTGATCTTTTCATTTTGATATAATTATTGTGAAATTTAAATTGCATAACTCAACTTATAAAGTTCAAATAATTTTTCCATTAAAGAATTCGTCCCGACCGAGAAATGTTCCATGCATCCAATACAATGAATTGGAGGTCAACAGATGTCCGCCTTCCTTTCAATTCTTCTTTTCATTTGGTGTCTGTCTGTCTCTGACCATTGAAGTGAACGTTTCTACTCCTCAAAAACATTTTTATCGATGTTGGCGTTTGAACGAAGAAGCATTTAATACTATAAATTTTATTTGCACAAACTTTTTCAAAATTAGTCTCTAGTACAATTTTTTTTAATTTTTCTAACTAACACTAATTTTTGTTTATTTTGAGCAATTTATCAAATGTGCAATCAATAAATCAAAAAACAGAAATGTCCTAATGGAAATAGATAACAAAGTGTTTCATTTAAACTATATAATATGTGCACCTGTACACTGTACCTGTACATATTCGACACACCAGAGTAATGCTACATGTTCTGTTCAAATATAAAAAGATGTTACAATTTTTTATTATTTGATTAAAAATGACAATAATGACTTCATAAAATTTTCCCCCAACAAAAACCATAAAACTTGTTATTTGGCCACTGAGCAAACAGAACGTAATGCACATAAGCGGACATTTTTGTTAACATAGCCAACATCGGGATAAAAACTCGCTTTTAAAACTTTTACTCTCCTGTAACGTTTTGAAAGCTTTCTCACGGAATGTTTCCCATTGTTCAACAATGTTGAAAATTTCAGCCAAATATAAATGTTATACAATGTTTCAGCTTTCATTTTAATGGTGTTTTCCGATTTGTTTGCCCTCAATAACTCCAACTCTCTCTGTTATAAAATATTTTTTAAACTCTATAAAAGATATTAAAATTTATTCAGTTTCATTAATTAATGATAACTAATAATGACGAGATTGTTGTAACAATTGCAATGTGAATAACGGCGACATTGGCTCTTTTAAATTTTGATATTACTAACCAAATAACTGAAATAATAATAAAGGGAATGTCCAATTAACACCACCAGTGTTGAAATAGTTTTCAAACCCTAACAACTTCCTCTGCTGGAATATTTTTATGCCTTCACTTTCATAATTAAACCAATAAAACTATTGAATACAAAAATTTCAGAGCAAATATATCCTAATCTAGTCTATTAATTTGTCGTTACTTCATTTTATATTTCATTGTCAATTACTTTTCTTTTATTTATTCTTATTATTTATTTTATTTTAACATATTTTATTTTTCATGTTTTAAAATTTTTCTTCCTCACTTTTTGTATTTGATTTTCTCACTTATTTGTTTAATTTTGTATTACCGCCTTGCATGTTGTTACAGTTTCTGCGTCTGTCAGATCCTGATTTTTAAAGAATAATAAAAAAAAAATATGGAAGTTATATAAATACATTATATGTTATACATTAACTTGAATTTGACCGCTGCACTGATAAATTCTTTGCTGCGTAAAATTGCGTGCGTATCTGCATTAGAAGCCACAACTTATTTTAGCACCAGTAACACAATACTTTTAAGATTTTCAATCGATAAAACCAATGAAGTTTGCTGCATGCAAATACTTTACTTAATGTATTTGGAATGGAACAATTTTGGTTGTTTCGAAGTTTTCACATATTTTTTTAATACTCGGATAAGAATATTTATTTTTTGGTCTTTCCTTATTTCTCGTGAATTCACTCTATCAAAAAGCTGAACACACAAATCATTTACTTTAACTTTTGTTTTCAACTATAGAATATATAAAGTGTGAAAAATACAGAAATTTAGCTTTTTACCGTTTTGAAAAGTTTGACTAAAATGTCTCCAAAAAATATATTTATGTTGAATTATTTCATTAATGTGGTCTTGGCAAGTACCAGCTGTTTTGAAAAGCTGAAAGACGGTGAGAGGTTTGTGTGTTCATCTGACCATCCCACGGATGAAGTAATTATTTCTCAATCTTTGTTTCCTGCGGAGAAAGCTCTCATGTTGTGCTTGATCAGATGTTCACAAACAAGCAGCTGTGTGGTTAACAACTTCTTCACCACTTCTAATCGCTGCCAACTTTTCGATTCAGTGGCAAAAACCAGTTCTGTTGTAGCCGGTTGTCAAAATTTTGTTAAAAAAAGAAAAGATTCTGGGCAACGTAGTTTGTTTGTCGAAAATGAAAATGCAGTCAATCGAACTTTACTAATAACTGTTGATGATTGGCTGATCGAATTTTACGTTAACGGCATCTCGGTACCTATCCAAACATATTTTCCAAATGCGCAAAATTTTAAGAAAGTAGACAGCTATGAATTGAGTGGGCATGTCTCTGTCCTTGCCATCAAGTCAAGAAGTCCTAGAGGAGCTGGCTTGCTTTTGTTTTACAATATTTTGGAGTTTTTCATACGCATCGCTGTCATCAATATTCATTGCGAAAAGAACTCAACAAACATTACAAGTTTATTATGATTTTTATTATGATTTAAATGTGACCATAGTAAAATAAAAAAAATATATAATCGTACGTGAGTGAGTGAGCGAGTGAGAGAGAGAGAGAGAGAGAGAGAGAGAGAGAGAGAGAGAGAGAGAGAGAGGAAAACAGTGAAATTAATAAGCAAGAGTAGAAACTACAATGCAACATTGTTTACTCTGATGAAATGTTTAGTGAAAGTTATTTTAAGTTTTTTAAAATTTATATTCAATTTAAAATTCGGTAATTCGGTGAATTAACTGATTAGTTTGTTTAAAGCAGTATAAAATTTAATAAACAAATTAAACCTGTGAAATATTTTATATATAAATACCAAGTGAATGCCTGAAATTTATTTGATCTTTGGCGAGTAAATGAAACCAAATAACATTTATTAACCTTACATCATAGACTATAAATGAAACCATATCTCTATGGTTAAACACAAATAGGTTGCTTGCTGGCCAAAACAACGGACAACTACATACTGACCAACAAGTCGTGGAAATGTACCAGAACCTATTTTGTGGTTGGTATGAAGTAGATTACGATGATTCATCCTGGCCTGATGCGGTCGTAGGGAGATGGGAAACTAATGATGGCTCAATGGTTAATGGCGCCTGGTCTTGCTATTGTAATGACTGGGCTCAAATACAAAGAGATCCCCGCCTATCATATGCAATGTGTATGATGCGTAGTTTGCACGCGTATTCATATCCGCTGTGCGTGTTTGTCGTTGAAACCTCTGAAGCAAACGCAAGAGAGAAAGAAACCTTTAACCTTTAATACAAATCACAACATGCCGGCTCTTAAACCTGCACAGTGGATCGAGGATCAAAGCGATTGCAGAAAATGCTATTGTCGCAAATTTTTCACTGGTTAGCGATGGCTCTATTAAGCAAAATGTTCGTAGATTAAAACAAATTTTTAATCATATTAATATAACAGCTGACAATTGTTTTGTATTATTTAAGAATAATTATTGCAAGGGCAAAAAAGTGACTTAATGAACAAGAATGGTTCGAGAAAGAACCTTCTGGAGTTGTGTGATTTTATTTTTTTAAAATGTGCTTTGACCTTTTGTTTCTTATTATGTAAATTTACAGAGACAATAAATTTCAATTCGCAGGCTTTGGAATAAATTTTAAATAAACTTTTCCATTAATTTTTGTTATTGGACGTTTTACATAGCAAATATTGCGATAGAATTGTTTTCCAGTGTTGAATCGTATGCCATTATGAAATGTGGTAGGTGCTATTTGTTTGGCCGGCCCTGAGTTAGATAATGAGTTTGTACGTTCCAATTAAATGCAGCCAGTAGTCATGTTTGATTTTGTCAACACGTTAAATAACATTTTGCAATTTGAAGAAAATTTTTCCAATTGTATAAATCATAGAGAGTATACATGTAGGAAGTATATATTTGAAAATAATATTTAAACTTAGTTAGTTATTCAGCAGTTGGTATGAAAGCAGCGAACCGCGAACCAACCTCTGTTGTGCTTCTGAATATTTATTTTACAACAATAGACGAATAAAGAGTAAATATGAATATAAAATGTTCTTTTATTTAAAATACCTACATTCATACATATTATAAAAATGTTTTATAGTTCGCAAGACACAACAAAAAGCATACATTCGTAGATACTATTATCTGCAACGCAATCAATATGGCATGGATATTGCAACAATGGCAAGTTGATCGATGGAAATTTTTAAATGTAAATTAGCGGGTTTGCCCAACATCACGTCAAAGCATGTTCTGTGATTATGCAAGTTGGGTTTAGGTAACGGCAGAGTTTGAAGTTTTGTTTTTATGTTTCTCCATCACGGATCGAAGTTTATTTATGATTGCAATTAATTATAAATGTCAAAATCTTCAACCGAAAATGTTATAAAAATTATAAAAAATTATATTTTTATTCCATCCAGTAGTATAATTTGCATAACAATTAATGGCATTCTTATTGTCTGTGGATGGAATTTAAACAGCAAGCTACGTTAGTGTGTACAGCGATAAAAAGAAGAAAGAACGTGTTAACATGTTTAACATTTTTCATTACAGATAATATTATCGAATTAACATCAGAAACGTTTAAAACATGATTCGAGAAATGTATAATATCCTGGTAGTTGTAAATTTGTTTGCCTACTCGTTGTATGTATCTGGGAAATGTTTCAGAAAATATGAAAAATATGGAACATGTTTCTGCGCGTGTGATTCATCTTTTGAAAATCTGACTCTGTCCAGGTTCTCATCTGCGGAGGCCCTCATGTTGTGTTCAATGAGATGTTCGCGAACGAGCAGCTGTGTGGCTTACAACTTCTTCAATGCACCCAACCAGTGCCAACTATTCAACCGAACGATAGATAAATTCTCTGTCGTGCCAAGTTGTCAATATTTTTGTGATACAAGTGGGTTTGAAAAATTTTAATGAAGTGTTTCGTAAATGTTAACAAGCATTTTTTCTGTAGATAATTTTGGAGTAGATTTTGTATTGAGTAGAAATTTGTCGATAACTGTGGATAACGTTCTCGTTGAATTTTACGTCAACGGTGTACCAGTAAATGTTGCAACCTACTTTCCAAATGCTAATGATTGGACAGTGTTTGACACCTACACACTGACCACGGGTGCCACCCTTCTTGCAGTCAAGTCCCATAACTCCGGAGGATTTAGTTGGTTTTCTTATTTGAATCTCTAATAACAATTCCATGTTTTAAAAAATATAATATTATGAAGTTCATTTTAATTGTAAATAATGACGGAGTCTCAAGTCCTTAGTATATAAATGGATAATAACTTGAACTTTTTATTATAATCAAATAAAATTTAAAAAAAAACTAACAAATGGCTGAAATCATTTTATAATTTATAATATTTTTTTTTTCATTCATTTTATTTTATTATTTTTCATTATTTTTTCAACAAAATAATTAAACCAACAGGTGGTTTGATGGCCAAAACAGCAGATAATTACATCCTGACTAACTCTTCCTGGAAATGTACCAACAACTCATACGATGGCTGGTACGAAGTGGATTACGATGATTCATTCTGGCCTGATGCTGTCGTAGGGAGGAGAAAAAAATTTTATAATGATGCCTATTCATGGTTCAATCCAGCCCAGTGGATCACAGATTTAACCGATTGTGCTAATTGCTATGCGGATTTTTATTGCCGTAAACATTTTTAAAAAGTATCAGACTGCTTCTGAAGATTTAATATGTATTAACACATACAAACCAATATCGAATGAATTCATAAAGTTATGGCAATAAAATTATTTCACAATTTCGACCCTACTTTGTCGTTTAACTTTCCATCGTTATTATAAATCTATCTCAAAAATTAGGAAAATAATGGTGGAATCTGAGCGGACTGCATGTTCAAGCATTCATTCTGGAAAATGTTTTTGTAAAAATTATTACAAAATGTTTTTACATGCACCTGAATCTAAATGTCGTATCTATGAAACAATACAATCTAGTTTCAAAAATTTTCAAGTGCAAAAAAGTTGTTTTTTGAGGGAAAAAATAAAAAAATTTATCAATTTTAGGTTTATAAATGTAAATTTAGTTTTATATCAAATAATCAAAAAGGAATAAATTAAATGTTTCAAATAATTTCAGAATGCCAAAACTGCTCTTAATTCAGTAAATTTATTCACATACATTGTAATGAGAACGCAATTTACATGGCTGTTGTTAAAAAAAATCGATGTTCTTAAACAAAATTTTAAAAAAATAATTTTATTTTGTTTCCTCTGGCTAGATGAAACATTTAAGTACCTCTGAAAATTGAAATCATCAAATCTCCATTCCGAAATGTTGCAAGAGAGGCCTTTACCCCTTCTTTTCATGCATTTACTGTTTCGTATAACGTACGCAGAATGTTTCACGAAATATGAACGAGATGGAACTTGTTTCTGTTCCTGTGATTCATCTGTTGAAAGTTCTTATTTGTCCACCATCTCATCTGTAGAGGCCCTCATTTTGTGTTCAATGAGGTGTTCGCAAAAAAGCAGCTGTGTGGCTTACAACTTCTTCACTGCATCCAACCAGTGCCAACTATTCAATAAAACCGGGAACTGTTTTAGAGTTGTGCCAAATTGCCATCATTATTTCAAACTTAGTGAGTTTAAAAATAAAAGCGAATAATTTTATAAAATAATTGGCGTCTTATTATTATTTCAAAAGCTAGCAACGTGAATTTAGCGTTGAGCCGATCTTTGTTGATAACTGTGGACAATTTTCTGCTTGCATTTTATGTCAACGGGGCAGCAGTTGATGTTCCATTGTATTTTCGCAATGCAGGTGATTGGACGAAGACTGACAGGTACACGCTGGCAGGAGATGTTATCGTTCTCGCAATCAAGCCACGCAACTCGGGAGGAGCTGGTAAGGATGACATTTCTTTCTTGTTTGAATCTTTAATTGCATTACATTTGTTGAAATTTTTTCAATAACGTCTACTCACCTAAATTTTTTTTTTATTAACCAAATGCTCTAAATTTATCCAAAATATGTTTGAAACAAATTGTTGCTCAGTTTCAAAGTTTAACTCTAAATAAAAAAAAGCAAACATAATATACAGTAAATATAAACATTTGTTAAATCAATCGTAACGATATGCCAGGTAGATTGATAGCCAAATCATCAGATGACTACATCCTGACCAACTCTACCTGGAAATGTACCAACAACTCATACGATGGCTGGTACGAAGTGGATTACGATGATTCATTCTGGCCTGGTGCTGTCGTTAAGAGGAGAGAAAAAAATTCTGCCCATGCCATGCTCGTCTTCATGCCTGCTCTCTGGATTACCGACTCAACTGACTGTTCAGATTGTCATGCGGATTTTTATTGCCGCAAAAATTTTCAGGCAAATAAACATTTGATTAAATTATTACATTTTTAAAGTCACATATTACCATAAGTGATGGTAATGAATGTGGTCACTCGTGGTCTATGAATGAAACTGTCTGTTGTACTACTTTTGTGTAAAAGATTTAAATTTGCTCATTTAAGAATGCAATTTACAATGTAAATGAATAAGTGAACATTTTTATAATTAGGAAGTTTCTCCTTCAGAAAAGATTGGCATCTTCAATCCTGCCAAATAAGAAAGCACCTAATAACTCTCACAGAACTCTGGCATGCAAACTTCGATATACATTCTTTTAATTTCTTATTATCAAGAAATCTAAAAAAATTTCAGTTGATTGAAAGACCTAAAAAAATATTAATTATATTATTCATTATGGTAGCCGTTTTTGATGTTGTGTTGGGATGAAACAATGAGAGGCAAAGTAGTAGAGTCGAGAGTAGAAACAACAACGTTTCATTTAACGATAACTATTTAATATAATAATAAGCAAACATTGCCTAACAAAATATGTTTTTATTTATAACAAAAATAATGAATAAAATAAAAATTAATCAAAAAATTTAGAGTGTTGATTTGTTTACACTATATAACAATGCATACATCAAATGATTTATTTTTTTATGTTAATTTAGTCGATACCTACAACAATAGCGTCGTAATTTTTATTCTAATTTGAAATCACTTCCTTGTTGATGCTGATTCAATCCAATCATTTTTTTACTGGCCAGGCGTGCAAGTCTCCATAGAAACATACGCTTGGTGGGATAAAAACGAAATGTTGATTGACATTATTTGATAAGAATCTAAATTAATTCTCTCAAAATTGATGAATTGAATCAAGTTATAAAGAAGATAACAGAGATTATATGACTAATAATAAAATCAATTGTTCACAGAAAATACAAAACGCCACTCAATTAGGACATGAATTGTTATTACCTATGAAATCTTTTCGGCAGTAAAAATCAGCTGTGCAGTCGTAGCAGTCAGTTGCATCAGTGATCCACAGTGCAGGCTTCAGCGTTGGCATTGCGTTAGCAGTATCTTGTTCTCTTTTCCCAACAACAGCATCAGGCCAAAATAAATCATTGTAATCCATCTCATACCAACCATTGTAAAATACTCTAGTACATTTCCATGTAGAGTTGGTCAGGATGTTGTTATTTGATGTTCTAGCTATCAAACCGCCTGTTCGTGTTCATATGTAAATGTCATTTTTATATTTAAAGTATTTTATGTCAGTTATTATTTATAAATTTGAAGGTTAGATCTAATTTCTAATTTTAAATTAAATTTTTGTCGTTTTTATTTTTTGTTAAGTTTTTGACGGCCATTTGAGGCAACGTTATGTTAGGTGACAAATGACTTAATTCCATTTATCATGGTGTTATGTTTTAATATGAATTAACTAATAAACTAATTAATTTTATTCAATATTCAATTTAATTAACCAATTACTGCTATGTTTTAATGTAAATTATTATAATTAACTGTAAAGAATTATATTTTTAAAATAAGTAAAACGTTTATAAATGTAAGTAAGGAAATGAGCACAAGAATATGAAACATAGCGTCAACCTGTGCCTCCCAAATTTTGTGACTTGATGGCGATGATGTGATGCTGTCCGTGGAAGTTGTACGTGTCAGTTAAACTCCACACTTTTGCGTTCGGAAAGTTCGATGCGACAGGTACAGAGCTGCCGTCGATGTAAAATTCACTCAGTTCATTGTCCACAGTTATCCTTAATGAGTTGTTAAACAACAATCCTGAAATGAAAATTCAAAATAAAACTTATATAAAAGCTGAATTCTTCACATTTTATATCAAATTTTAAACTTTTACCCCTTCTGAAATAATGTTGACAACTGGACACTTTAGAAAACTTTTCCATCGTTCGGTTGAATAGTTGGCACTGGTTGGATGCAGTGAAGAAGTTGTAAGCCACACAGCTGCTTGTTTGTGAACACCTCATTGAACACAACATGAGGGCCTCTACAGATGAGAACGTGGACAAACTCGAACTTTCAAAAGATGAATCACAGGAACAGAAACATTTGCCATTTCTTTCAAATTTAGTGAAACATTTCGCATGCACGTAAAAGTTCGTAATTAAACAGGAGAAGATCGCTAAAGAAAATTGTTTCAACATTTTTTGAGAAGGTAGTACAATTTTAAATTATTATATAGTGAAGAATGCTAATCCGTTGAGCAACAAAAATTTTCTTATGATATCTTGGGTGTTGGGAGATGATACTCAAAAAATTAAAATGAGCAGGTATTTGGCAAGTAGGTAGGAATGAAATGACATGAAAACAAGTACACTTTGGTAAATAAATGAAACTTATGTTCTCTTCTTTTTCTAAAAATATAAATATCAACTGGCACGCACGTGGACAAAACATGAAATGTCAAATATTCCTTATTTTTTTAAGATTAAAACTATCTAGGTTATTTTTAAATTTGGAATGTCACGTAGTAAATTTTTTTATGGAAGTTTTAATGATGTTTAACTTTTGCTGAGTTTATTTGAAAACATTTAAACATTTTATACGTATTTAAAAATTTGTATTTCAAATTAATTGTATTTAAGAACCTTTTTTGAAAAGAAATAATTTTTGATCGATCGAACCCTATTGTTTCAGTGAATAAGAAGTTGGAGTTTGACATGCAACAACTGTAAGTTATAATGGGAGGAGTACAAACATGCTCATAATCTTTTTATTTTTTGGCATTCCCATTGTGTTATATCTCATCAATTTACGTTTCTTGTTTTAGAAACGACAAAACTCTCACTTTTTCGTGCTATTTACAAATCTGTGATGTAAGTTAAGTGCTTTCAGCATTTTTTCACTTGCTGGCAGACAGATTGGAACGCTAAATAAACAGCAGAAGTTCCCAACTGTCCCACCTCCCTTTTCCTAGCACGTTATCAGACTTCTTCTCCTTAGCCTTCACATTCAACGTGAGCACACAGTAAATAGGGTTGAACAGCTGAATGCAAACGAACATTTTTCATTTCTGTCATAAAAATGAAATTAGCATGAACATAAATCGTTTTGAACCGATTAAAAAGTTTTTCTAATTTAACAATCTTGAAATGTTTCAGTATCAAATCCTAAAATGAAATGACCTCTAAATAGACACGCAATGAAAAATTTATAAATTCCGTACGGACAATCACGTGGCTCTCGAATAATAATGTGGAATGCTACGGAGGTACACTAGACAAGAAAGAATTTAATAAGTAGCATCGTTATTGACGTCACCCAACATAAAGCATGGAACGGGAAAAATCTGGCGGCCGATCAAACAGAGGCTGGCGAGTTTGTTATTCAATTTGACGTGTCTATAACGTCTCTAACACGGTATTTAAACAAATTCTGAATATTTTTTTTATTCACTCACATTTTCGATATATATTCGGTTATATCAGGAGCTGTGCGTAGTACACTATGTATTTGTATTTGTTACTGCCGTGGAAATATATATAGATACATTCATGGTTACTACATGCCTTGCGCTTAGTAAGTGTTATATGTAAGTTTGTGTGGTTAACTGCTTTGTCAAATGTTTGCTTAAATTTTTAAAATATTAAAATATATTTTTTATATTTATTTTAAAATTTTCACCCTTTTATAATATAGATATAAATAATTTGACTGAATGAAAATGTTCACGGTTTTACTGTTTCCAGCTTTTCTGTAAATCTGTGCGGATGAGGAAGTCGTAATGAGCTCCAAATAGAGAATTAATTTCATATAATTTTCAAACGATGAATTAGTGTGTGGTACTATGTAAATACGTTAAATGCTACTCCTCTTACCACGCATTTAAAACATTTAAAAAATTCCATTGAATTCCCGGCTTTCGAAGCATTTGAAGCACTACAAATATCTGGCTGCATGGAACATTGAGTTGTTTATATTGGACTGTTGAAGTAGTTAGAACAACAACACTAACGACGAAGATGCTGCTCAAGTTGGTTGCATTCTGCGTCATGTTGGTTGCTCGGCAGCTGGTCAGCGGTGTGCGTTCTGGCAAAGAATAATTAACTTCTGTGAACATGTCGTCAACTGCAACTACATTCTGTTCATCTCAACTAACACAATATATATATATATATATTATTTCAACAACTTATCAATATTGTGTTGGATGTTTTCAAAAAATTGTACAGTAGTTTGACTGAGAATTCAATTGCTACCTACCAACAAAACAACGCATGATGTTGCTGGTTCGGAGTGGTCGTTAAGTTGCTCTACAGTAAACTCGTATGTCAACGTGTTTTGAATGTTAACATGTTACGACTATTGACACGTTTCGAATGTTCAAATTATAAAAATAACTCTCGTACGTTATTAAAGTTGGTTTTTCTGCATTTTATTACGTTCTGAGCGATGAAACGTTTTTATCGGGGAGGTTTGTTGAGCAAACAAAATTGTAACGTTGTATTCATGATATATAGGTACATGATATATTGATACACAATATACGGATATATGATATATAGATGCACGGTATATAGAAACATGATATGTAGATAAAATCTATATCATGTTAACATCTCTAGATAAACATGAGAGCCGATGTTAAGCCATCAACTAACCGAGAAATGTAATGATGGCTATCGATTTTTACTCCATTTTTAACACTAATTTTCACTCTTTCATTATTCATTGTTTTGATTTAGTTAATTAATTTGTCAATTTTTTTTAATTTTTGCATTAGTGAATATATTTTGGATGAACTTATGAACACGAGAGCATATGGAATGGACATCGTCTGAGTTCTTATTTATTCTCACATGAGTATTCACTATAATTATAAATAACTATAAATAACTAGTCAAAACTAAATTAATAAAGAAATATAAATATATGTGACGCGTGAAAAATTGAATCGACTATTTTGTTAATTTAAACTTCAAAATTTATTAAATCTAACACAAAATATATTGTTAATTTAAGAGAATTGCAAAAGTTCATCACTAAACGAAACAGCCAGCTTTTCTTTTACTCCAGACAGCTACGACTCAGTTCACTCCAGACAGCTATGACCCAGTTCACTCCAGACAGCTATGACCCAGTTCACTCGGTCAGAGCACCGGTATCACGTGACGGCCACTAATCATGTCACGATAATTTAAACCATGACACATATATATATAAACACAGGTGCGGGTTTGGGCGTGTGTGCAAATACGACTCACAAATACCACGTATTGAAAACGTTGCAAGTATCTTTCTATCAGGACCCACTGAATTCTCCGCATTTTAACCACTACAAATAGCTGTTGGATGGCTGCATGAGTTATTATTATTGGGCAATTGAAGTAGTTAGAACAACAACACTGAGGACGAAGATGCTCAAGTTGGTTGCATTCTGTGCCATGCTGGCTGCTCTGCAGCTGGTCAGCGGTGTGCGTTGGGGCAAAGGTAGGTTAACTTCTGTGTACTGTACAGCGATGTGTGGGTCTGCTACTTGCTGTTGACGTCTATTTTGAGTTATATTTCGATTCCTCAATTTATTTACAGCCAATGGCGGTCTTCATCTTTTGCAATTTTTATAAATAATCAAGAGCGTTTAAAAATTTCAAATGAACAATATTTGTAAAATGAAGTAATGAAAATATATTTTGAATTAAAATTGATGCAATTTGCTTCAGAATGTTGGTACGAGAGTCCGGGCTACAAGTTCCCCGATAACTCCGTGAATCTGGTCCCTGGCGCAACCACTGTTGAGGCCTGCAAGAAACATTGTCTCGACACAACAACCTGCTTCGTCTTTCACATCGTTGATGGCAACAAATGTTACATGTTGAAACCAGACGCCCATGTCAACTGGGACGATTTGTTGAAAGACCAGCCTAACGTGGTGCACTACCAGAGCTGCCGAGAAGAAGCTCCTGTTGATGAATAAACAGAGACTCATCGTGCCTCTTTCTTTTAAATGAACAAATTTAGTTTGGTTAGATAAATTATAATTTATTTTGATTCAACTGTTTTTTTATTAATGTAAAGGGATACCATAAACGATTAAATAAATGGATAAATCTTTTGCTAAAAAATGATATCTCTTAATTTTTTTAAATTAAAACTCACGACATTTATAATTTTTCGTGTGTTAATAATAAGCGGTTGAACACAGTTGATTTATACTAACGTGTTTTATATCACCACACAAATAAATGGAAGTTGTTGATTGATTGATTGGTTAGTTAGCTGATTGAATGAGTGATTGACTGGTTAGTTAGCTGATTGATTGGTTGAATCGACGCTTTCAATGATTTGTTGGTTGGTTTCTTGTTTTGGTATGTTTGATTGGGTGGATATCTTAATTGTTATTTAATCACTGGCTGTTTGCTTGTATACATTATGCACATAGATGCGTCAAAAGTCGGAAACTGTTCTAGATTTATTTTGAAAAATCAAACCACAAAATTTTATATTAATAAATGAATATTTTTCATTGAATAATTTTATCAATTATATAACAATGATTATTTTCATGTTTAAATAATATAGTTGTGTTATTAACTACATTTAAGTCTTCAATGTTAAAAATTTGAAAGCGAATTTAAAATGTCAAACGTTGAAACAACAACAAAGTATCAATAATTTGCACAACATACACAGTTACATCATCATTCATCGCTGGAAAGATCCTTGTAATAAAATATTGAACGTGTCGCCATTGAATTTTCAACTGAACTTCTTTAAAAAAAAAAATTTCGCTTAGTGCGTTTCATATCGTTCATCTTAACTTACAGGATATTAATTATCAACAACAAACTGTTGTTGTCAACATTGTGTTGGATGCTATCAACATGAAACAACCGTGCTGTTGCGACTGAGAATTCACTTGCTGCCATCAAACAAACAAATGCAAGACGATGCTGACGGTTGTGAGTGGCTGTGATTGTGAGTTGAACGGCAGCACATGTATGTCGACATGTTGCGAATGTGTTTACTCGCCCACTTCATCAATGTTTTTACATTTTTTTTTAAATTGGTAGCGATGAAATGTTTGTTGAGCAAACAAAACCTTGACGTTCCATACATGATATACAGATACGTTATATATAGATACATGATATATATATATATATATATATATATACATATATATATATATATATATATACGTGATATATAGATTAGGGTGTCCCAGAAATGCACGGAAATTTTTTTTTTAATTAGTTGATGTCTCACCCTCTGAAAGATGTCTCTTGGGTACAATAATTAAATTGGTGAAGTTACAGCTCATTTGAACAAGTTTGAGAGGTCCCCCAAGGGCTTTTAAAATTTTACTATCGAGTTAATTCAAAATCCATATTAATAATCTTAAACAATATGCACAAAATGAGTGAAATAAAGCTAGAAATGCAAACTAGTTTAATTATCTCACTGCAGACATTAATTAGAGTTTAAAATATTATTAACAATTACCTGTAGAATGATAATCTTTATTAGAGAATGCAAAAAATGTATATTTTTAACCAGTCAACTCGCGATGTTACTGGTGTGGTCAACGTAGATTGGTTGCCTGTCCTGCTCTCATCACCTGTTGATGGCACTACAAAACTTCTTGGAGTTCCAAGGTTAGCATCTGGATTAGGACGAGCAGCTGCTGATGCAGTTCATGAACAGATAAAATCTTGAAAGTGTGAATCAATGGTTATTGGCATGTGCTTTGACACGACAGCTTCCAATGCTGGAAAACTCAATGGAGCTTGCACTCTTCTAGAAAAAGCCATGGGACGTAATTTAGTATGGATGGCTTGCCGTCATCATAAGTATGAAGTGCTGCTTGCCGATGTATATAGTGTTTGTCTTGGAACATCCACTGGACCAGAAATTTTATTCTTCAAAAGGTTTCGTGAAAAATGGACAGAAATGAATCACACACCAGAAGCCAGATCAACCCCTTTGATAATTGTTTCAGATGCAATTAAAGCATTCATCAAATGTCAACTTGAGGTCAGACATTCTCGAGATGACTATTTAGAGTTTCTACTTCTTGCTGCACAAATAGCTGAACTGCAGGTTGATGTAGCCATTCGCAAACCTGATGCACTGCACAGGGCACGATGGATGGCAAAAGCCATCTACGCATTAAAAATTGAACTATTATTCACCGTAAATAAAACCATTTTTAACTTAAACAGCTCGAGAATTACAAGGTATTCAACGTTTGAATCGGTTTATCATTTGTGTTTATCTTCAGTCATGGTTTTCATGCAGGCTCACTGCTTATGCACCTGTGAATGATATTTTGTTGATACAGCGTTTGCATGACTATGACGATGCAATTCTTGGTTCGACTGGATTAAAAATGATGCTGCGTCATTTTTGGTACATGAGTCCAGAATTGGCAACTCTTGTTCTTTTTTCATCTCTTCTGTATGACAAAGAAAAGACTGATCTTGTCCGCACAATACAAGCAGATCGAGGCCCACATCTGATGAAAACACTACCACAAAGTTTTGACAATTTGCGTGCGTCTAAAACATTTTTTGAAACATCTAATATTGATGCCAGTTTTCTTGATGTACTTGTTGAAAACTGGTCAAAAATTTGAATTATTTGCATTAATTAATATTCAAGCGAACTGAAATTCAATAAAATCTTGTTTTTCAATCATTTTTGACCTAATTTTTGAAATTTAAAAAATAAAAGGCATTGCAGATTTATATATTTTTTCACAATTATATATTTTGTTTTATTTGTATAAACAAATCATAAAACATTTATAATCATATCATATAACACTGTATCAAAAGTTGGTAGCGAACGATCAAACACCAAAATCGGAAACTTTCGACCCCTTGGGGGACCTCTAAACATTGTCCAAATGGGCTAAAATTTAGCATGTAAATTACTGTTACCATACAGACATATTTAATGGGGTGAGACATCAATATTTTAAAACTTCATATTTTTGGGACACCCTAATATAGATACATGATATATAGTTACATGATATATAGATACGTGATATAAAGATGCATAATATATAGATAGGTGATGCTTAGATACGTGATATAAAGATACATGATATATAGATACGTGATTAATAGATACATAATATATAAATACGTGATATAAAGATACACAATATATAGATACGTGATATAAAGATACATGATATATAGATACGTGATTAATAGATACATAATATATAAATACGTGATATAAAGATACACAATATATAAATACGTGATATAAAGATACATGATATATAGATATGTGATAGTCTCAACAATCGCGAAAACCAAAAAATAATAACAATGACAACAAAAGAACAACAAGATACGTGATGTATAGGTATGATATATAGATAAGGGGAATAAAAAAATCATCGTTTGCGTTCATATTTTTTCTCACATGAGTATATATAAATATAAATAATTAGAAATATTTAATAACAATTATATAAAAATATATATAAACACAGGTGAGGCTTGGACGTGTGTGCAAATGCGACTCACAAATACCACGCATTGAAAACCTTGCAGAACCGAACCCACTGAATTCCCCGCATTTTAAGCACTACAAATAGCTGTTGGATAGTTGCATGAAGCATTGAGTTGTTTTTATTGAACAGTTGAAGTAGTTAGAACAACAACACTGAAGACGAAGATGCTCAAGTTGGTTGCATTCTGGGCCATGCTGGTTGCTCTGCAGCTGATCAGCGGTGTGCGTTGGGGCAAAGGTAGGTTAACTTCTGTGTACAGCGATGTGTGGGTCTGCTATTTGCTTTGACGTCTATTTTGAGTTATATTTCGATTCCTCCATTTATTTGCAGCCAATGGCGGTCTTCATCTTTTGCAATTTTTGATAATAATGAAGAGCATTTAAATATATTTTTAATTAAAATTGATGCAATTTATTTCAGAATGTTGGTACGAATCAGCAGGACGAAAGATGCCAGATGATGCCGCGGATCTCATTCCTGGCGCAACCTCTGTTGAGGCATGCAAGAAACATTGTCTCGAAACCGACGGCTGTCTCATCATTCAGGTCGTTGATGGCAACAAATGTTACATGGAAAAAATAGGTGCTCACTTCCCCTGGAAAAAACTGTTGGAAGACCAGCCTAACGTGGTGTACTACCAAAACTGCAGGGAAATAGCTCCTGATGAATAGACAGAGACTCGGAAACTTACTGTGCCTCTTCATTTTAAATAAACAAAATTAATTTAATTCGGAAAATTACATTTTATCTTTATTCAACAGTTTTAAATGATTAAATAAATGAGTGAATCTTTTGTTCAAAAATTATGTCTCATGATTTATTGCATCTCTTTGTAACGTGAACTAGTTTTTTCTGGAAATTAATTTATTTTTTATAATATTAATTTGTTAGAAATACTTTAATAGAAAATTATAAATTTCATCATAATTTTTTCAAAAGTTTTTGTGCGCTTGTATTGTTTGCAGTGTCACATATTTTGTCTCACCTAAGCTCATTGTGACTTTTGGTACGTTTTGCGACGTTTTGTCAAATGATTCACGATTTAGTTGAAGTTGTTTTAATGTCGTGTTTCAAGTTCATTTATTGAAAATATTTCACCCTTCGATGTATTGAATTTTATTAAAAGACATTCTTCACAAGAGTCATATCCAAATACATGCAGTGTTCTGCGCATTCCTCTTACGATACCTGTCCTGTAACTGATGCAGGTGGCGAAAGTAGCTTTTCTAAACTGAAGCGCTATGTTGCAAGATCGACTTAACTCTTTGGCCAAGTTATCAATCGAGCAAGAATATCAAATAATTTAGATTTTTCAAGCCTGGCAAAAAATTTTGCTGGCAAAAAAGCTAGAAGAGTGACATTTTAATAACTTAAATCAATGTTTTGCTGATATAATTAGAAGGATTTGTTATCTGTATAATAAAAATTCATTTAGTTATATCGCATTGCTTATTTATGTACTTGCTTTCAATAAAACCTCTTTAAAAAAAATCAATTTTACACTTAGATTGAAAATTTATTAAAAAATCACGTCAGCATATATCTACAATTTTGCATATTGACCTAGCTTGTACTCGTACGCTAATGTTGAGCTACCTACCTTCCATTTGTAACTTCAATAATACATAGGGGCGCGTTTACAAGTTTTGACAGACCTGTCAAAAAGCTAAGGTCTGCGCTGTTCAAAATTAAATTTAAACTGAAATTTATTTCCTTTTAAGAAAATCTACGACATCTGTTGATGATCTTTCAAGCGATTAAAAGTTGAATGAAGTTGCAGAAGTGCGGATTAACTGTTTTAAATCATTCATTTTCATTTCTAACAAATGGAGTCGTTAACTGAACGCTGATTCTTTAGATTAAAAATCATTTGATGGAGTTGAAATACTTTCGAACCTTAATTTTATTTTTTTAGCTTTGGTTTCATCGGTAAATCAAACTGACGAAATTAAAAAGAAAATTGTTAAGAAGCACCAAAGCGATTAAAAATTTTTATTTTCTACACTCAGTTCAATTAACATTTTCAAAGTGCGTTAAACGTCTGACAAGCAAACCACCGTTCGAAAGGGTGAGGTCATTTTTGCCTCTTGATAGTCTTCCAAGCATTCTTTTTCAAAACAATGCAATTTCTCAAGATCGTTTTCATGCAAAAATATTTCTGAGGAATGAATGAACAAATAAACCATTTATGCAGTCATAAAACAAAAATAAGCATAAAAAGCTAGTGTAAAAAAAAGAACTTTTTTAAATTTTAAATATAAAATTTTTTATATTTAAAATATAAAAATATTTAACCAAAAATTTTTTGAAAAACATGGTTGGCATTGTTAGTCATCACCCTTTACAAACTTAATCCTCGGTCGCATCGATTCCACTTTTTTGAGCATCTTTGCCTAATGAACAGCAGCAGCGAGATGAAGTGACTGATGATGATGAATGGAGGAGGCAGGATTGGTTTGCTGACGTGTTTGATCACCAGCTCGTATCGTTGAAACTTCCAAACAATGTCGAAATGTTCTTGGCATTGCATGTAAATCCGACTGAGTGTTGGTTTCATTTATTATTGATTGTTGGAAGAAAACAAATGTAAAAACTTTGTTCATTTTAGCAATGCAAATCGATTTCACGAAAAACCAGCATGAAATACACTTGACAATGTTATTTATTTTAAAACGGCGAACTTGAACAAAGCAATGAGAACGTTGAACAAGACGACGTAACCGATCGCCATGAACATGGAGAAGATGGCAGGCACCAACCACCGGCCAGGAACACATTTGAAGTCATCAGGTGACGTCACGTTGGCCACACAGTCAGCTGTTTATAATGAATAAAAATATTATTTCATGTCGGGAAATTTATTTGAAAATCTGAAAACAAAATATACACACGCCAAATGAATTCTTTATAAACTTCGCCAAAGAGCATGATGTACGGTTTCAAAAACACTTCTCTCACTGACGTCCATTCAAAATCGTGATCAGGAAACCAAAGACTTTCTCGAAAAGTTCCAAAACTCCAAATTAAAACAAAAACAAATGCAACAATGCTTATGGACTCTTTCAACTAAAGTAAAAAAGTAATGCTTGATAATATTTTATTACTTCATTTTTAACAAAACTATTTTAAAACTGTACCGTTATATGAATAATTCTAAAAAAAAATCGTACGTTCGTTGCTTCTAAACCTGAACTAACCATTTGACTGATCATTGGTCCAAACGGTCCGAGTCTGGGACTGATGACGAAAAACTCGATTAACTTGATGATGCTCAACATGACGGTTAAACAATAAAATGCTCTGGCACTGCTAACCAGGGCTGGAGTGAAACGGATTGCAAAGCCGATGAAAAATAAGCCAACCGATAAAATATCAATGATGCTCCAAACGTCGGACAGAAAGGATAGTATTTTATGTCCGATCCTGGCAACTTCACATGTCATGAGCTGTAAACAGTTTCAAATTATGTGTTTTGAGATAAACACAGAGAAGTCATAGAACACAATCGTCATAGAATTAACTACCTCTCTAATTTTTTCCACACCAAGACCACACATGTACGCGACGACAAACCATTCAATGGTGCTCGGGTCGGCTGGCGTGGTTTGGAGGATCATGTAAGTGTAAAGAAGAAGAAAGATGAGGTGAGCTATCTGAGTGAATATTTGTTTTTATCGAAATCAATCATCTGTTCTAACTAATTTGAGAGAGAGAGAAAAGATGAAATAAAATGAAAAACTCTAACAAGGTGCATCCAAAATTTAGTGATAGGAGCCGTGTAAAACTTGAGAATTTTACTTTTAGCATGAAGTTGGCTTTGTTTATGATGTTCATTTAGTCTACCAATGATTTCTTCAGGAGAAGCGGTCTTGCCTAAACTATGTTTTGAACTGTACAAACATGAAATAATATTTTTAACAAAAAAAGAAAAAATGTTTTTCGAAATACTTCAACAATTAAACGAACACTAAAAAACAGACCCTCGACGTAAATTAGAATTTTTTGCTGGATGCCTGAAAGGTTTCGAAAATCTTCGTTTTCGGTAGATTTGGCGCTGAAATGAAATATGCCAGAATAAAAATTATTCCGGTGTAGGCATGTAAATTCTGACTAATTTATTGGTCACGTTATCTACAATCACTGAAACCTGGAATGGCGAAATTATTTGAGATGCTTCGTTAGTTGCGGCATGATTCGTTAAGCTGTTTGTAGCTCCTGCAGTGGCTAATGCGGCGATGGCCACTGTGGAAATCGTTGGTCTCTGCTGTTCAAGTATGCTGCTCGAGTCGATAACGACGTTAGAAAACTGATGCAGTTGTTGTTGCTGCTGTCGCAAGGTCTGTTTTTTGCATTGGAATTATTTATAAAATTTTAAACATGGTTGCATAGTTCTAAAATGTGATTCATGCTAACTTGCAATATCATAAAATTTTCATTCTCTATAGATTCTGAATCGGAACTTGATGTTTCGCCATCGCTGTCATCAGCGTGAACATCCTGCTTGTTTTATTTTCCAATTATTTCACCAATCAGTTAAAAAAATAAATTTGAATTAAACTAGATTATTATTGATAAGTAAATGTTTAATTTAAAGAGCCATAAATATTGAACTGCAAATAAATAAAATGTGGTGTGATAAACGTTTTTGTTTAGAAGGAACCTGCTGTTGAGGCATCAATTGTAACTCTTCCTGGCTCCGGTACTTGAAAAATAAAATGGATGGAAAGCAAAGAATGCCAAATAGCACCTGAAACAACCAAAAATTAAAATAAATTATACTTGATTGATCAATATTTGTCGCCATCGTCACTTTCAGGCTGGAATACTTCCTGATTCTCAAACCTCCCTTCCACATTTCAGTCAACAAGAGTTGGCAGCATGTGTGAGCTAAAAAGAATCTGTTTCTACCTGTTAAGTATTAAATTCTTATTTATAATTAAAGTAAAATGTTATTGGTCTATGAAAACCTATGTAATTATTTGTTTAGTTTTACAAATTAATAAATGCGAGCTAACTGACCAGAAACGGCAAGACTGAGGCAGGTTTGGTTGTTCCAATTAAGCAGTTCGTAAGTCAGGAGCAGTTGTGACAGTTTCCAATTTGTTCTGAAGCACTGATCCAACAATTTAGTGGCAAGCTCAGAAAATTTACTAAAGTTTAAATGGATAAACGTATTTCATTTAAAGGTTTTGTAGGAAATCTTCTTAAGAGAAATAATTTTATTTTGCAAAAATATTGATTGGTCTCAACGCATGATTGTTAAAAAATTGCTTAACTTTCAAAATATTCAAAATACTTGTGGTATTTTCTGATTTCCAAAGCAGTATCTACTTCATATTCGTCTTTCTCTGCCTCTCTCGCCATGCTCTTGTAGAGTTTGGCCGCAACCAAACACTGCCACAGTTTAATTGTTCTCAAATGTGAAAAATTTGGAAAACGGAAATTTTGTAAAATATTTCAAACGAATTAAAATTGGTGAACTTCATTAAACCTTAGCCAGAGGTTCTTCCCCTCTCTGCCACATAAACATAGCCACGTCATTTCTTCTCAGCAAGACAGCCCAGACGATCAACTCGCTGTATGGATATCGAAATGTGTCTGATAGGAGCTGCTTGTATTCATCATCGCTCGCTGAAGTGCCAGAAATTGTTGAAATTCTTGAAGCGGTAGAAACTTTCCTACTCTACAAATTTGTATTTGAGTCAATTTGACAAAAAATAGTTGAAATAATTTTTAGAAAAACCTTGGACTTTGCGGCGCTATGTAGTACTAGAAATTTTCGTCTGCTGTAAGTGGATTGGAAACAACCGCCCATCAGCTTATTTACAACTTGACCTATCTCGTATAACGTCGTTCTGTTGCCGGGAGTATTCTATGGTGTTTGCAAAATTATACTATATGGGTTGGTTTAAATTGGAGGTGCTGAAGAAATATTAATATTTCTTTTCTACAACTGATTTACTTGGTGTTACATATTTAAGAAAGGTTTCATGTGTTTCATCAAATACAAATAAGTTTGTCTGAAAGTTTTATTAGATACATTGCTAGATTTCTGACATGAAAGCGCAAGCAAACAAACAAAAATAACAAACGCACACCAATGAATTTCAAAATAATTATTAAAACTACCCCTCTTAATTCCGCCAACAAATGTTTCAGTGTGCTGGACGCATCGAGTTTCTGTTAACAGCAATGATATTGGATGTTAACATTAGTTTGACTATCAGTTTTATTGCATGTGCGTGCACGGCTGTTATTGTTTCACGTTGTTTTAACGTTGAGAATTTTTGTTTGCCTTTGATAAAGTTTTAAATAATAACGTAAAACCAAATGTCACTAGAATGTAAGAGATTAGACCGATGAATAGATGGAAAATTTACCAATCATTCGAATACAAATTAAATGAAAAAAATTCATGATGAGATCAATTTCAATTATTTAATTTGTATAGAAATAAAAACAAAAAATATGAATATCAATATATATATGTATATATGAACTAATTTTTATACAAAACGAACGAACAAAAATAAAATGACAACAAGTGAACGGTGCAAACAAAACTACCTCATTATTGCTCGATTTGTGCACATACTTTGCTAGGACTGGCCTCGGCGCGTTCAGCACCTGTTCAATTCATTGTTACCAACGTTAATGGCGTTCGTGATTTATTCATCGCAGTTTAAATTTGATAAAATCTGAACTAGTCAAAGAGATGAATGTTGTGCGTTCAAACTTGTTTCATTGTCGTCAAACGCATTGAATCATTTTAATCACTATACCATTATTTCACGATTGTTTTAATTAATACTGCAAATTTTCATTGATTAAATAATTTAGTTTATAATTTGAAAAACTATTTTTGTGGTCATTTATTTAAAAACATGCACCTGATTATACAGATCTTCTAATTTTTGTACTGTCAGCCACGTTTGCATGTTGATCCCTTTTTCGATAAACAGTTGCACGAATTCAACTTTTTCATCAATTAAGGCATCCATCAACACGTTATCCAACGATCCATCCTTAATTGGGCAAATTATTTCACTCTGATTCTTTGTTCATGAATTATTTAGTAATTTGTGAAAACACCTAAAATGCATAATTAGTGAAAAGCAAATAATTGTTAATTACAATTGAAAACCTAAGCCAACCGGCCAATTGACTCCACCGTTGAACAAATAATTCCTGGCTACATCTATTCTGTCCCAAGTCATTATTAAGTTCAAATGATAAAAAGGATTTTGTTTTCTACCTGAAAAAATTGTTTTCACAAATTAAAAATTTCACATTTTTATAAATTGACCTCAATTGACTTTTTATTAATGCATATAAAATTGCCCGGCCAATATCTTGTTTTTCTTCGTCCAATTTGAAAAATGTTATCTAGAGGAATTATATAAATTTATTGTCAACAAATAAAATAAATTATTAGAAGAATAAAACAATTTTTATAGAACCAACAAAATTTTTACGCATGGCGCAGAGCAACAATTCTGAAAAGATTGTTTCGCTTTGTTCGTAATTGAAATTGTGAGCTATTAAAGACAGGAGTTTTCTTTTCGAGATTTCTGGCATTGTTCTGAAATAATTTAAATGTTGATTTTCAGAAGTATTAAAATTGAAAAATTTATATACATTTGAAATTTGGATGACATTTCAATTGATCAATTGCTTACCCGTCAAAATTCACTTGCTCACAAGCAAAGGAGAGCAGATCAGCAGCCCCGCCACGGCCATCGACCGCCAGGACAGCAGGGATGGGTGGTTTGTCGGTAACACATTCGAGTACTTTCCGAACAAAACAAATATTTCCTTCCATCAACAAACATACCACTGGAATACAATTGTCTTTTGTGCTTTCTGAGTGATTGGACAAATTAATAGCTTGTTTGTGTTATTAAACAATGAAAAACCAATCTTCCTATGTGGCCACCTGCTGTGTCTATGAAATCATGAAAAATGTACTAGGTAACAAAAGAATGAAACAAAATTTTTGACAAATCTCACTGTGGTTATTCGTTCTCAACTGGGAAATATAATTTTCAAATTTTTTCCTGAGAATCATTTCACATCCAAATTTTCCTTCGGTTCCATCGTCAACCAACAAAAAGTAAGAATGGTGCTTGGTTAGGGCGGCGTTGTCGCTGCCTGGTTGAGCAAAGTAAGGAACGTTTATCTGAGAAGATTTAAAATGAAAATTGATCAAACGTTAAAACTTTTTTTGAATGACGTCAACACACCTGTTTAGAGAATAATATGAACACAATGTAAACAATATTAAAATAATGCAGCACCACTTACATTCCTCCCAATAAGATCCTCCCTTTTATGCACCAGGCCCCATGGCGCAATGCAAATTGAGACGACGTTGGGACGGTGCTCAATTGGAGAATCGTCCCCGGTATCTCCATCCACCTTAGCGAGACCTTAAAGATGCAGTTAATGATTTCAAACACATATATCTATATGTAGGCCTAAGCATATTTTGAGCAATGACATGTTTTTGTTACTAAACATTGACACAAATTTTGAAAAAACTTTTAAAAACAACAGAAAGACAAAATGTACAAATTACTAATAATATTTAATCACAAAAAACAACTGTATAATCATAAATAACAAATGTTAATTTAAATATTTTTTGTACGGTTGAGGTCAATTTTACAATTATTGTATAACCGGAAATGATCCACGCTCCTGATGACCTGCCGTTTCCGGTCCAAAAATGTTCCTCGTTATCAAATTTTTGAAATTGTGGCTGTAGACAGAAAGAGGAATTTGCAGAATTCCCATGTATTGAAATCAAAACTCTTGGAAGGTGAAGGCCCCACTGTGTGCTCAGCAGTTGAAGAATTTGCTCGGGTCTTGAGTCAGAAGACAGACGGATGTACTGTCGACGTTATTTTTAGTTACATTTCTATCTTAATGGTCTACAAAAAAATTGGATTGATAATTTAATGAAATGTTGATGTAAAAAACTTTGCACAATTCTTTTACTCCTTATTAATAATAGAGCCTTGAATTAGATTTTCAAGTTTATAGTTACAAGAATTGTGAGGGTAGTTTTAATGCAATTTATTCACCATTATAAAAATTCACCAACCTGAGCTTTGGTTGTGTAAGAACCACCCTGAAATTCAACAACCCCGTAAGCATCTGTTGGTGATGATTCGGTGTGGGTTGTTACATCCCACCACTGATCGGAATACTGAGGGTTGCCTCTTGAAAATTTATCCCTCTTATCCAGGTGGAAAGCTTCCGAACGCCCACACATGCATCTGAGATGGTGTGAGCGTGTTAGGAGAAATGTAATGTTGTATTGTATAATTGTATTATGTTACTGAATACAAATGTTATTACGTTAAATAATTTTTAATAATGATTTACGATTTAAATTTTTATTAATTTTTTAAAATTTTACATCGCAAATGTTTACAATCTTTCATATAATCCATATGATAGATACAGCTTTTAACGATATAATTATCACCTACATGCTTTATCTTATTTAAAGTACATAAGCTAGATTTTAAGTATCAAACGCATATAGAAACGCGTATTTTGAGCTTTTTTCACTCTGGGAAGGTGACTTACCTGGTTTTGTCCACACGGTCTCGTTGAAATTTGACGCATTCCCGCTTTTGAAATGTCTCCTCTATCCAGCAAGGCTTGAATTGAATTCAATTGTAATTTCGATTTATATTCTATTTTATGACAAATTACAAATGTAGGCAGTCTATACTTCAAATTTTTTATTCGAAAGCGATTTTCATTATAAATAGTATTTATTTTTTTAAATTGACAAAAATTTACCAATATAATAATTATAATACAAATAATTAACATCACCTTATTAACCCTTCCGTTTGTAGATCCGTCCGACCTGTTAGCAGCTATCTCGTTTTTTATTTGCCCAACCATACCCACGTGAATATCCAATGGTTTTATTTCATTAAAATTTATAAATTTTTAATTAAAATTATTAGAATTTGTTAGTTTTAATAATTATTATCAGACTAATTCCATAATTAACGCAACATTGCTTGGATTGATTTGTTTTTGTTAAGACCAATAAAATGATTTCAGATAAAATAATTTTTTCTCAATAAAACATTAATCATCAAATAAATTCCACAATTTTTTATTTTAAAATAAAAAAAAACTCGTGTGTTTAGTTCCATGCAAGACAACAATCCCAAACCAGAATGAAATAAGTAAGCACATTTGCATACATTCTCTCGTTAATTTAACAATTGACATCACAAAGCTTGCCTTTTTATACTAATTCAATTGTTAACACAGTCTACATACACATATAATTATGCCAATAAAACAATGCTATCTGTACAGCACACAAAATGCTTGTGTGATAGCTATCACATAGCATTTAGTATTGCAAATCACTGTATACATGGATTGATATTATTTGCGTTACCTTCTTTCTTTTATAGTATTATCAATAAAAACTTAAATAAGCTGAACATTAGAAAAAATATCTGTGGATTGTGATCAAAATTTATTAGAAGACCAGAAAAGCGGAGCATGGGCATCCAGTGAAATAGAATGAAATTTGGTTGAATATGATTTATATAAAGATTATAGATACACAGTGGCAGATCTGGTGTGGTCATGGAAAGCCCTGCACCGTTGTGAGCAGTATTTGAATTAAAAGTCAGTAAAACTCAATGTTATAACAGAAAAACCACCGTTTTTTTACCAAATTTTGACGTGATAAGCATGAAAAAAATCCGTTTTGATCACATTGTCACTAATGCTGCCCGCGTCAAAATTTAAACATTTTCAAAAATTTTGCCCCCACCCCGTCAAATTTGTCTAGATCCGTCACAGTGAATACATGTAATAATTACAGTCATCCATTGTTAAACTTATACAAATTGAATTTGGATTAAAATATTAAGAAAATTGGTTAAGTAGTTTAATGAATTGTTACAAGTTTATACAATTTATTATAGTTATTAAATTAATTGATTCTAAATTTTGAATGAATGCAATTTGTGGTTGCAAGTTGCACTGAACAAACCAATCAACTTCCTCCATTTGTAGAGTTGCTACAGATCAACTCTCTATTAAATTAAAAAACTTGTTTATCTTTTCAATTAATTGTTACAATTTTTTAAGTATTTTGGACTAATTCGCTTTTTATGAAAAATTTCTGGTAGCGAGATATCTCGGATGATTAGTGTGCTTTGTTCCGCGGCGACCTGGTTCAAATACAGTCGATCCCAAACTCAAAAATGTTTCAGCGTATGTGCAATGATTGCAATGCCTGTGCGAGCATCTGCATGTAAATGAGCAAAATGTATAGCACACAAGTTTAAATGAGAAGTTAACAGAAAAAAAAACGAAATTTTTTTTTTAATTTTCAACTTTCTACTGCTTCTTATTGATTTATTTGTGTTGAATAATACTTTTAACTCATTGAAAAAACATAAATTTCAAATAAAAAGGGAAAAAATTGCGAAGCAGACGAACATCAACTTTTTCCGGCAGTAAAACTCAGCGCCATGGTCTGTTGAATCAACGATCCAATGGGCAGGTTTCATAATGCTACTCACAGCAGGTGAATAAGAATCTTTACTTCCAATAATAGCATCAGGCCAGAAGGAATCATCATAGTCGACTTCGTACCAGCCAGCGTAGGAGTTGTTGGTACATTTCCAGGAAGTGTTTGTCAGGATGTAGTTATCTGATGTTCTGGTTATCAATCCGCTTGTTAATTTGTTTTTATTTTTCATTGATCATTCATGTGTTTGATTAGTTTTGTGTTTTTTTCGCGTGAAAAGATAAATAATTTATTATTATAAAATGCAATTTCAAATTTTTAAGTGTCTCAAAATAAATTTGACATAAAATTTGAAAAATAGTGCAAATAATATAATGGTGCAACGATGCATACATTAAAATGATGGTTCTGCATAAATGAAATCCAGTTTTTAAATAGTTATGCTAGCTGAAATGTGTAAGAGAAGTTGAGTGTGTGGGGAATGGATTTGGAGATTTAATTTTTGACCTACTGCTGCGGTGTTGTGCGACTTAATGGCGAGAATGTAGGTGGGTCCAACCAGTTGGTAGGAATCAATTTGTGTCCACTCATTTGCGTTGGGAAAGTTTGATTCAACAGGTACTGAATTACCGTTGACGAAGAATTCAGCCAACTTAAAGTCCACAGTTATCAGCAAAGACTGGTTAAACAGTGTCTCTGCAAATCCATTTCAAATTTACAATTTAATTTTGCTTACTTGTCGAGAAAAGTTGGTTTATAAAATTAAAAAATAATAAATTTATCTTGCCTGATTTAAAATAATAATGACAACTGGGTACCAAGGAATACTTCATGGATATTTTACCAAACAGTTGGCACTGGTTGGAATCAGTAAGGAAGTTGTAAGCAACACAGTTGGTTGATTGTGAACATCTCATGGAACACTTCATGAAAGCTTTCTTTAGGGGCAGTGTGGAATAATTTGACCTTTCAAAGAACGAATCACACCCACAAAAATATTTATTATTCATTTCAAACTTCTTGAAACACTTTGCATGCACACACAGATTATATTGCAAACACAATTTGACGAACAAAGAAGCATAAAACTTAACGTTCATATTTTTAGTTTAATAGTTCAACTAATTAATTATTTAATTAAGCTTTTTAACGTTATCCTGAAAAAAAATATTTTCTCCCAAGCTACACGCAGAATGCCTCCAAAACAAATTCAACATGCGGTACAGACGACTAAATGCTCAAATATTTATTTTAGTTATTTTAGAGTTTATTTCGAAAATAAAGAAATTTTGAAATTAAGCTTCTTTTAAAAATTAGCAAATCACCATAAAAAAATATTTTTTAAAAATTTAAAAATTTAAAAAGCAAAACATTGAAGTATTTTTATACACGTGCTAGATAAACGAAAGAAAATCATCGTCTTTAAAATTATTAGAAGCTGAACGCAAATTTTAAAATCAATATAAAAATAGTGCATAAAATCAGAAAACCTATCCAATTGTCTCGTAATTTATAAAAATTAACCGATTAGCCAAATAAGCAATTAAATATTTAAAATGTTCATTGATTTTGAGCGGCGTATTGCAACAAATTGCACCATTTCGACGCGTTCATATTGTTCCAGTTTCTACGATTCAATAAGGGCAATTAACACAAATTGGAGAATATTTATCTTTTACAAATTTTAAAGTCTCTTTTCCAACTTGTCGGCGATGATCTGGATGGTATCACGCGATGGTATGGATGGTACCGAATGCTTTCTGTCAGAAACTCAAAGACCATTCCAGGCTATGACAAATTTGGCAGCTGTCGATGCTTTGTCATACGGTGTACCACAGGGTTCCGTCTTAGGTCCCATTCTCTTTTTGCTTTATACAGCAGATGTCTACACAATAATTGAGTCGTACAATTTCAGGTTTCATGCATTTGCTGACGACATCCAAATAATAGCCAACTCCTCTCCCTCGTCGTTTGGTGATGTGGTCGATGATTTAGTATCGTGTTTATCAGCCATTGATGTTTGGATGATGGGGCACAGATTAAAGTTGAACCAATGCAAGACCCAGTTTTTGCCTGTGGGTACATGGCAACAAGTGAATAGAGTGGGTATCAACACTATCAGAATAAAGGAATCTGTCATCGAATTTTGTGCGTCAGCACGAAATCTTGGATTTATTTTTGATACAAACATGACAATGCAATTGCACATAAAGTTGTTGTTGAAAGAATGTACTTACCAATTGAGAAAATCGTGACTCATCAAAAGATCTCTAAATATGCATACATTGCAATGTTTAATTCACTCGTTCATTCACTCGAGGATCGATTATTGCAACAGTTTATTCTACGGTTTACCCAAAAAGTATGTTGCACAGTTACAATTAATTCAAAATCGGGCTGCCAAGTTGTTAACTGGTGTTTCATATTTTGATCATGTTGCTCCTATCCTCTTCAATCTTCATTGGTTGCCCGTTCAACAAAGAATTGTCTTCAAAATTGCCCTACTGGTGTATAAAAGCATTAATGGATTAGCGCCGAAATATTTAATGGATCGAATTGTTCCAAGAAATGCACCGTTACAGTGTCAGAAGTTACGGTCAAACGGTTTAGATTTGTTAACAATTCGACAAACTCAGCTTGCTGTTGGTTGCAGAGATTTCGCTGTTATGGGACCGAAGATTTGGAACAGTTTGCCGGTCGACTTGCGAAATCGTGGGTTGTCAATTACTGAATTTCGAAGAAAGCTTAAGAACCATCTTTTCAGACAAACTTTTCATGATATGAATTTGATGGAAGTAAAAAATTAATCAAACTTTGCCGTTGCCGAATTAAACAACTTTTTACATTGTAGGCGCTTTTGAGAACAATAAAGGGCGCTTTATATATAAATAATCTAATAATAATAATAATATGAGGCATACACAATGTGTTTGTGCATGTACGTGTATGGTGTGGAGTGAACGTACATACAGTCTTTGTGGAACGAAAGTTTAATTATAATTATCGAATGACATGTAAGTAGTTCTGCGTTTGACAGATCTGCTTCATAAAAAAACTTGAAACAATGATTTCTTGCTTGCAAAAAATTAACTTTTTCAAATAAAGTTTTTATATATCATTTTTAATTTAGAAAGCTAAAACGTTTATCGTTCGCCTGGAAACAAGGAGACATCAAAATTTATGTAATTAAGTCTAGCATATAAATTTTTGATCCTCAAAACACACGCGTATTTAAATCTTAAAATTTTTTATAATCAAATTAAACGAGATAAATAAAATTAATTGAAAACTATTCAAGGATTAATAAAGATTTAAAAAATGTTGTAACAGTTGAATTTATTAAAACGCAGCTGGTGTTCAAATGTTTACCATACATATTTGAATGTTCAGTCACATGATTTTAAATGCTTACAGAGATTTATGCATATATGTATAATAAAGCTATTATTAAGATAAGTATATAGGCCTAGTTCAATTTTCACGCAACCATAAACTAATAAAATCTCGTAAATATTTTTAATCCTCCATCTAATCTATTCCAAGCATTGAAGGAGATGAGCAATTCATTTCAGGAATAAACTCTTTATAAAAATATAAACAACATTGTAAGAAGCTGCTATAAATAAGTCGTCAGTTTTTACTTCTTAAATAAAGAAAATTTTAAATTCCAATTTTATTCAATATTTAATTTTATTCGTTTTCGAAAAAATATTATGGAACACTCAATTAAATGGTCTATTTAACCCAGCACATTACCAACAAATCATACAAACAATGGAATATACAAATTCTTACTTATGATATCTTTACGGCAATAAAAATAGGCCAAACAATTTGAACAGTCCGTCGGATCGACGATCCACTTAGCAGGTCCCAGCACAGACCTGGATGGATTTTTGTCACTTTCACAAATGCCAGCAATAGCGTGAGGCCAGAATGAATCGTCGTAATCCATTTTGTACCAGCCATCATAGTACATGTTGGTGCATTTCCACGAAGTGTTTGTCTGCATGTAATTATCCGATGTCTTGGCTATCATGCCACCTGTCGTGATTTCACGACGTGTGTTTCTAAATGAAGTCATTGTGTTGTGTTGTGTTGTTGTCTGCTATTTCATAATTTACTAGCAGCGTGATACAAACAAGAAACCACATTTAACAGCATCTGTATGAAAGAGTGTGCCTATGCATTCTTTTAAAAAAATTGCAATAAAAAATGTGTGTAACCTCGGAACAATTCAACGAAATATACGCATCGTTCAACAGCCTAACGTTATTTTTTCTTATTTTAAAAAGATTATCGATAATGTTTATCAATTATCGATAACCTTTTAAAAACCTACTTTTAAATTGTTCAACTTAAGAATTTGTGACTCAAAACTGTTATAACATCTAGGTAGCGAAAATATTTACCAGACCAATTTTGAAATGATCAGCCAATGGAACAACCTGCTCCGCCCGCATTGTAGGACTTGATGGCGAGCGCATACAAGTATCCAGTTATGTTATATGCGTCAGTCTTCATCCAATTCTTCGCATTTGGAAAGTACAACGCAATTGGTACAGAATCGCCATTGATGTATACTTCTGACAGCTCATTGTCCACCGTTATCGAAAAAATGTTGCTCTGCAGAAATGTTGCGTCGTGATTTTCTGAAGTAAAATGGAAATAAATCTAAATTTATTAGACTAATTTAATGAAAGCTTTTACCTTTGTTAAAATAATATTGGCAACCGGAAACTGAAGAATATATTTTTAAAGTTTGGTTGAATAGCTGGCACTGTTTGGAAGCAGTGAAGAAGTTGTAAGCCACACAACTGCTTGTTTGCGAACATCTCATTGAACACAACATGAGCGCCTCCACAGATGAGAACATGAACAAACTTGAGTATTCCATCGATGAATCACAGGCGCAATAACTTTTATCACTTTTTTCAAACTTTGTAAAACACTTTGCACTCATACAACTACCGATGTGACCCAAGCAAAAGAGATAAGAGAAATAAACCAACCTAATCATAATAAGGACGTATTTGAATGACCACCTTTGAAAATAATAACTCAAAGCTATCGACGCCATACTCTTATTTTGAGCTGCGATGTTAAACCTCGAACAACATTTGTGCTCAAACCAGTTGCAGATGTTTGTTTTTTGTATATTGCAGAAAATTAGTTGAAACGAATTTTAGATTTTTGGATTTGAATGCTTTCAAAAAATATGAACCGGCATTACTTTTCATCATATAAGCTGATTCATTTGCTGCTTATGTACCTTCTACATAAATTAAACTTATTATATGTATGAGATATTATTATTAAGATTGGTTCACCTGAATAGATGTTGGCAGTTTGCATTATTTTTCATTTCAAGTTAATGATGTTCATTATGTGTTGGTAGGTAGAATGTGCATGTTTTTACGTAAGTGCTCCCCATTGTTCACCAACATATCTGTCACTAATGCATCAGGTACGCTCTTTCCAAGCTTGATGCGTCTGTCATTATAATCCATGACGGCTCTTTGTTCCGAGATGGTAAAAAAGGATGTTCTAAGTAACGGCATTCATGTCAGCAACAACAAAACTATTGCATCGAATATTTCTTTCAAATTTACAGATCCCCAGTCAAGCAGAATACCTGTAGCAGTTACATCGCAATTTTTCCATACATAGTTCTCACGAATCACTTCGTTTGTTTGTTGCGTTTTCATTTATTATTGAGGATTATTATGGAGATTTAATTTGAAGATTTGCGATCAGACAGTACTGTTCAATAAATTTTGTTTTAACACTGTAAAAGATTAAAACCCATTAATTGAACCCATTATAGAATGACTTTAAAGTTGGATGTTAGTTCACACGAAAAAAAAACACATGCTGAAAAAAAATACTTTTTGTTTTGTTTATCTGTAATGAAATATTTTATATCATTGACAAAAATCGAAATGGAAACAGCGTTGCCGATAAAAGTGTTTAAAAAATAAACCGGACAATCAAAAACAGACCAGTGAATCACTGCGCATATCTTGCGTTCCAAGAAACTACCTGACGAAGTGATAACGAAATATGATCTTCCATTTTAAACGTTGTTGGTATGTTTAAAAAATGCACCAATCGAATATATTAAAAACTTCAAAATTAATTTTACAAATGCAAGAAATGTTACTCGTATATTAATACAATAATTAATGAATTTATAATAAATAATATATGGGTTTTGACAGTATCACAAAATATGTTTATTCATACATAAGAAAAAATTAAATAAAAATATTTACCCCATCAATTGATGTTATTCATTTGAATCAGCATATTTTGGACAATATAATCAATAATAATTTTCAATAATATTGTCATTTATTAAAAAAATGTTTAAAATAAAAGATTTTAGTGAAACATCGGACGTTGAATTAATGCTAATAAAATATAATTATAAACTTCTAACGCGAAGTAACAAACAAAATCATAAAATTGTGAAAATCGTAATAAATTATGTTTAAAAACTGGAAGCATAATTTGATATCAGTGGAACGTATATGTAACATGTAAAAATTCCATATCACAAAAATTATGGATAAACATGTATTCACATAAAGTTATAATTAGAAGATCTATGTACAGTACAGCAATGCACATTCAAGCACATTGTATAATGATGCAAGCCCAGATTGAATCACCCTGAATTACTTCTTTTTCTTCTTTAAAGTTGGGGCTTCGCAAGCCACTAATTTAGCGATGTCAACTTTAAAAGTGTCGTTTCTGTCTTCAAACACTGCATTTTCCAACACCATGGTCCAGACATCATCAACATACCTGTATGTGGTCAGATCGGCTTTGAATGTAATTTTTCTGTCGAATTTCGTTGCCAACATCTCATTGATGGTTTTATCAAACCGTAATAAAGCTTTCGAAGCCATCTCTGGAGTTATTTTTTCAGCTTGAACGAGTTCATCCAAAGTATCCTGAAATGTTTGTCCTAAAGTGGTGCATCTGTAATGTTGGTAATCCATTTTATTTTACTTTAATATAGATAAAAACCAGAGCTTCTTCTTGTCTAGCAGTTACGTATGAATAAGTGTATAATTAATTGAAACGCGAAATCAGCAACAAACGACAATGATTTGTACATGGCACGTGCTGGTTATATAGAGAGATAAACCAAAGAAATATAATTTTACAACTTATAATTTTACACTTTTGTGTTTACGATCTAGAATGTTTTCTAGGTCGTAAACATAGAAATTAAAGTTAAAGTTAACCCAGCGCAATTTTAATTCAATTTTAATTACAGTTTTTATGAATGGTAAAATTAAGCCAGCGCATAATTAAAGTGGCTGGCTATCATGGTTAAATATTTGCTGGTTTTAATTGATTTTCATTAAAAAATATTTTTTGAAACACAAGTGATGAATAAGTAAGTGTCAGTCAAGCATTTGGTGAGGAAGGACTCTACTCAACACGTGCCCGTCTTTACATTGCTTGCATACATTCATACTGACGTCCATATTTTGTACGCAGGCGAAATTTAAAAAAATAAATGGTTGAAAGAATGAATGGACGAATGAATGAATAAATGAATGGATAAATGAACAAACGAACGAATGAATGAATGATGGAACGAACGAACGAACGAACAAATGAATACTAAATGATTGCACATACATGGTACCTCCCGCTTAATTATTTGCTGATACATACGTAACTGTCCATTAACATTTTTCGGTAAAAAAAATTGTTTATTTTTTATTTATTGTGATTTTTTGTCTGTTGCAACTGTTCATGCGAAACAATTTGCTTTGTTTGTAGTTCATGCTTTGTGGGAATTGAAAGGAATTCATTTATTATTCATCTCCCAGTGTAATTCTGCTGGGCAAAAATTAGTTTCTGTTAAGTTTTTTAGAATGTTGTAGTGATATTCAGTTGGAACGTTATCAGAATTATAAATTGAATTTATTATTTATAGAAAAAAATGTTTAATGAATTCATTTTAATTTGTTATTTGTCTCTACAACAGTGGAACCTGACCAATTGAACATGAACCCAGTATTGCTTTTGATTTCCAAGCTTCCCGCTTCTTTATAAAAATGTATAAATAACTTTGAGCCTCCAGTTATTTCTGTGACTACAAAATTAATCCGTAGGTACAAAATCAAATACGAGAAACTACATTTTCTACATAAAATCTAAATGACGCATTTGCATTGTGGAGGTGAACCTTCTTTTTAATTATTCAAATGACGTCTCGGTAGCAAGTACGGTCCTAGTATGAAATTTTTATTAGTACAGTTAAAATTTGTACCATCACAATGGCTTATAAACTGGCGCCGCTCCTAAAAGAACCAGTCCTGTTTCAAATTTCTGCAATGTTGAGTAGTTTTTATTTTGTAGCGCTCATTTTCTCAATGATGCCAGATGCAGGCGTGCGGGCGAAATGTTTTGAAGTGTTTGAAATGGAAAGTAGGTCATATTGCACGTGTGCGGAACCTTTCAAGAGCACGATGATTTCTGCGGTGGCATCGTACAGGCAAGCACTGCTGTTATGCTCGATGAGATGTTCACAATTAGGCAACTGCATGGCTTTCAACTTTTGGGACAGCAGTAACTTTTGTCAACTATTCAACCAAACTACGAAATCTTTATCCATGATATCAAATTGTAAGCATTATTTGAACGCAGGTAATTTCAAAATTTATCGTGAAATTTTTCAAAGATATAAATAAAACGAAACTTAATTTCAGAAGTCCACGAATCCCGGTTGTCATATAACAAGACACTGAACATAACAGTGGACAACGAGTTGATTGAGTTTTACGTGAATGGAGTTTCAGTGCCCACCAGATTGTACTTTCCAAACGCGGATGATTGGTCGAAAGCTGACACGTACAACATTCAGGGATATATCCACGTTCTGGCCATCAAATCGTTGAACTCCGGAGGAACAGGTCGGTTGATTCTTTGAACGTTTATTTCAAAATATTTACCCCATAGTGTATTGAAACCAAAAAGAAAATATTACAGGAACAGAAAGTGATGCAGGCTAACATTATCCATATCGAGTGTATTGTAATTAAGGATAAAAGTTTATCATAATCCGTGATTAAGGGATCATAATCCGGAATTGTTTTATCTTGAAAATTTTTTTATAATTTAAATGATTAAAATAATAAACAAATCTTTAGATATTGAATGAAAATTTTAACAAAAAGATCATTGGTCTATTGAACATGCATGATGGTAATATACACAAACACAAGTGGTTTAATAGCCAAATCTTCAGATAATTACATCCTGACCAACTCTACCTGGAAATGTACCAACAACTCATAGGATGGCTGGTACGAAGTGGATTACGATGATTCATTCTGGTCTGATGCTGTCGTAGGGAGGAGAGAGCGTGATAACATTCACGTCATGCCCGGGTTCAAACCTGCTCTCTGGATTATCGATTCTTCTGATTGTCGCGATTGTCATGCAAATTTTTACTGTCGTAAAAAATTTACTGGTATTTTGTTGTGATTTTTTTCAAATAAAATTAATTTTAAAAAGAAATTTTTTTAATTTTGTTTTTTAAATCTGAAAATGAAGTTACACAAATTTGCTGATTTCCTCCCTTCAAGAAATTGCACATAAAACTCTTCGATTGAAGTTTATTGAAACAACAGCACCAGGCTTTCGTCAAATTGTTTTCTTTCTTTTTCATACAATTTTTGGAATGTTATGCACCAGGTTTTTATTGCAATTAAAAATGAATGAACATACAGAAATACTATCAAATTTTGTATGTTTGTATTTAACATGCTTAGTAACAATTTGTTTGTTAGTTATTTTTATACTTATTTAATATCTTTGTTTAAGTTTTTTATTTATTGATATCTGTAAATTTGATTGCTCTTTTTAAATTCACTCACACGAATTGTGGTATAACGTTTGGGACGCAAAGCAGCAGTTGTGATGACTGGATTCGATTCCAAGAAGATCTCGGCCTACCGCATGCAACTGTGTGTGTCTGTGTGTGCGCTTGTGTGCGTGTGTGTTTGGGGCGTGTGTGTATGTTACAACAACAACTACTACTAATGATGATGATGATGATCATATGATAATAAAACTGTAAATTTTGAATGAACATTGATGTATTTGTGGCTATTAACTAATGTTGATGAATTTTAAAACATTATTAATGCCAGCATGTTAATGTGATGTTCGTATAATATTGCTTTAATAGACAATAATGTGAATATTAAATGAAAGACAAACGACGTTCCCAGCCATTGTCTACCTACATTGTTAATCAATACATGCAATTGATAGCATTGGAACAATTCGAGTTCAATCCATCTAATTTGTTACTATAGTAACTCATAGACTAATCTACGTAATATAATAGAACATAATTTAAAAACGTAATATAATAGAACATAATTTAAAACGACTAAATGAAAATGTTCACGCTACTAAACAAAACTGATGCATGGAACACCAACATTTACAATTTTTAATGAAGTTTCACGCTCTAAGTCATCAAAAATATTAAATTGTCGTTTGCAAATTATGAACAATGCGCATCTAATGCTGCTCTTTAAAACAACATTTGGTAAATAATGGGAAATCGATGATTACAGAATATTTAATGACAAACTTAATGAAAACATTTACCGATGTTGAAACAAAGAACTTGAAATTAAACATAAGCAATGGTTCACGATAAGTTTACAACAAAAATCTTATAACTAGCTACATGGCTGCGTGTCAACCTGTTCAACGACGTTCAAAATTAAAACGACTCGTAAAGCTTTAAATTAATCGCTTGAAATTGCGATGAACTATCAAAAAATGTTCAGCAAGTTGCTCCTTTCAATACAGATTTTTCAGTGCGTCTCCAGGTGCAGCACAAATGCAGGCTGTTTTACAGAGTTGGTTGTAGATGGCAAACGTTTGTGTGCGATGGATCCATCTTTCAACAGCACCGAATTTCCAAAGTCTTCATCCAGAGAAGCCCTCATCACGTGCTCTATGGAATGTTTGCAAACTTCCAGCTGCCTGGCTTACAACTTTCGGTGTAACTCCAATTTGTGCCAAATTTTCAATCAACCGTTGAAATCGTTTTCTGTGATGTCTGATTGTCAATATTATTATAAATCAGGTTAAATTAAATTTAAATTAATAATTAAAATTAAATGTTTCTAAAGAAGCACAATTGGCATTATAACATTATTTCAGGAGCAGGATTGCTTATGAATCAATCTTTGCTGATAACAGTGGACAACGAACTGGTTGAATTTTACGTCAATGGAAAAGCTGTGCCAGTAGCGTCGAACTTTCCAAGCGCCAATAATTGGATAATGACAGACACGTACGAACTGAGTGGAGACATTTATGTTCTTGCCGTCAAGTCGTTCAATGCTGGAGGATCAGGTTGAAATAACTGGCTTTCTAATTTTATTTTTAATGTGCATGGATGCTGTGGGCTGTTCATCTTCATCTTCTCACTGGTTGATTGATTAACTTCAGTGTCCAACCAACTGTTTGCTGGTACTTATAAACAAAATGGCGTTGTAATTCATTCAAAGGATAAATAAAATTAAATTCATTCATACTTGTAAAAATTTTTACCATAACAAAATATATATGAAATAAAAAATCCCAGTATATTGGTTTTATTTTTAAAACCAACTTCATTATTGGATAATAAATTAATAGGTGGTTTGATAGCCAAAACAGCGGATAACCACGTCCTGACGAACGCTTCATGGAAATGTACGAACGAATTGTACCCTGGTTGGTACAAACTGGATTACGACGATTCCTTCTGGCCTGCTGCCTTCGTGGGCAAAAGAGAGAGAGATCTTGTCCATGCCATGCCCATCTTCAAACCTGCCCTCTGGATCACTGATCCATCAGACTGTTCAAACTGCCTGGCAACTTTTTACTGTCGTAAAAACTTTATAGGTAATTCGGTTTCGATATGTTTTGTTGTTGTTTGAGTTTGACAAACTACTGGTTAATCAAAATTTCAATTTGCCAGTTTAGTTTTTAATGAAATGAAATGATGAAGAAAATGACAATAATAATAATGATAATAATAATAACAATAGTGATGATGAAGGTGATGATGGTTTGATGACAGTGATGATGATTATGATGACAATGATAATACCGGTTATCCATTTAAACAAAAGGAATAATTGGTGATGTAAAAAAAAACATTTTTTTGATTATTTATTTTGTTTTGAAGATTTTGTGCCAGCGGTAAAATTACAAAAAAATTCATTGGTTGGATCAACCTTACAGGACAATGTCTTATAAACCATTGTCGAGTTTACTTTGCACCGACATTTAATGGAAACAATTACTTTCATCATATTTTAATTCGTTATGATCTAATTTAATGTGAAAATATTGAAGAAATAACTTCAACATGAATGGGTTAGTGTTGAATAAATGGTGATTTATGGTTTATGATTTTAAAAATTTTTTCTTTTATTAACTGCTCTATTTGTCCGTTCATTAATTCATTTGTTGTTTGTTCAATAGTTTATTTGTTTATTCATTCGTTCGTATCTGGTCTATTCATTCATTTGTTCGTTCGTTCGTTCATTTGTTCATTTGTTCGTTGTTTGTTCATTCTTTTATTCATTTATTCATTCATTTATTCATTCATTTATTCATTCATTTATTCATTCATTCATTCATTCATTCATTCATTCATTCATTCATTCATTCATTCATTCATTCATTCATTCATTCATTCATTCATTCATTCATTCATTCATTCATTCATTCATTCATTCATTCATTCATTCATTCATTCATTCATTCATTCATTCATTCATTCATTCATTCATTCATTCATTCATTCATTCATTCATTCATTCATTCATTCATTCATTCATTCATTTATTCATTCATTCATTCATTCATTCATTCATTCGTTCGTTCATTCGTTCATTCATTCATTCATTCATTCGTTCATTCGTTCATTCATTCGTTCATTCATGAATCAAAAGATCATAGCAAATAAATGAAAAAATCATCTGATTTTGTTCATACATAAAAATTTTGTGAGGCCTTCGTTCGTTCGTTCGTTCATTCATTCATTCATTTGTTCATTCATTCGCTAATTCATTCATTCATTCATTCATGAAAAGGATTAATTCAAAAGATCATAGCGAATAAATAAAAAAGCATCTGATTTTTTTATACGTAAAAATTTTTTGAGGCCTTCGATAAAAATCAGAAAGCAGATTGCTGCTGGTCCAGAGTTCCATCCTTGCAGAATATCATATCATTCCCGGTGGCAGTACCGTTCAAATGTGAGCGATTAGTGCAGAAGCTCAAAATTATGGCAAGTATTGCAATGATAAACTGAAATCATAAAGCTTTTTGAAAAAGTGAACTTGTGTGTGTTTACCTAGCTTTAAAATTGTATATGGAAGCATTAATTGTACTGTTTAAATTAATTACAAATTGAACTTTTACTGATTTTCAGTGCGAGGAACACGCTATTAATCACCACTTTGTAATTATCTTTGCGGTCTAACAAAATACTGATGAAAATTTCAACTAGAGAAATTTTTCCAAAGAAACATAACAAATAGTAATTAAAATAAATTATTTTACTTAATGATACATTTTTTAAGTTTGAACAACCGGCAATATAAGTTTCATTGAAAATATTTCATGAAGGAACTCACGATAGGATAGGTAGTGTTTGTGTCTGTGTGATCGTAATGAAAAATTTTAAAAATGTTGAAATATGTGCAAATAACTGTTAAAATATTTAAAATAACTTCGCAACCACACAGATAACAGAGCAAGTTTGTAAATGCAAATTTGCGAGCACAAAGCTTCTTCCATTGTTACGAAGAGAATGCACCAGCTTTAAAAATAATCTATGTAGAGTTAAAACTTTTGCTTGAATAATATAGAAAGAAATGTTCGTGCCTTAACTTAACGACAATTCTTCATTACAACTTAGGAATGATTCAACTGAAATTTAAGCGTATAAATTAATTTTTTATTTTTAAAACGTCGAACAAACATTCAGAAGTTAATTCATTTTCAAAATAATGTTTCATCGGATTTACATCCATGCTCTCCTTTGCTTCAGTTTCATGATTTTCAACGCGTATGCCAAATGTTTTACTACTTTTAAAAGAGATGGCAAACATTTCTGCGCGTGTGGTTCATCTTTTGAAAGTTCGAGCTTTCCCATGTTCTCATCTGTGGAGGCCTTCATGTTTTGTTCTATGAAATGTTCACAATCAACCAGCTGTGCGGCTTACAACTTCTTCATTGCATCCAATAACTGTCAACTATTCAACCGGACAGTGGAGACGTTTGCTGCCATACCGAATTGTCAATATTATTCTGAAATAGGTGAAAATTACTTATATCTAATGAATTGTCAAGGTCGAATAATGTTTAAACATTAAAATATTTCCTGCAACAGAAGCACCTGTAATGAAACTAACGTTATTGATAACAGTGGACGATGAACTGACTGAGTTTTACATTAATGGAAACTCTGTACCTGTAGCTCTAAACTTTCCAAACGCAAAGGACTGGAGGCTGCTAGATATGTACGAACTGACCGGCGCCATTTATGTTCTTGCCATCAAGTCATTTAATGCGCTAGGAGGACCAGGTTGATTTTTTTCAAATCTTTTCAATGATGTACACAGAAACAGAAAAAATATTACGACGTAAAATGTAGTATGGTTATAGTGATATAACGGTATCTTTGGACTATAGGTTATATTTAATGATTGTTCATAATTCTTTTTGCTTAATTTTTACAAAATACAAATGTATTCTTAAATCTTATTAATTAAATGCTTTGTCACATTTATCAAGTGCCATTTTTTCGTGAGCTTTCAAACAAATTTGGCTTATTATGTTACTCTTCTGTTCTTATGAGACTATAACAGTCGCTAGACCATAAAGTTCTGTGTTCAAAAAAGAATTATTAAAACTCAGTAAAATCGTTTTAACAAATAACCAGCAAATAGAAAAAATGACGATTTAATAAATCAGAGAGTAAACAGAGAACTAAGCTAACAAATGTTTATTGTTTAATATTTCTCAAACAATCCTTGGAATTTGATTTAGTTAGTCTTTTGACATTATAAAAATGAAAGTCAGAAATATAAACACATTTTTGAATAGGTGGCTTGATAGCCAAATCTTCAGATAATTACATCCTGACCAACTCTTCCTGGAAATGTACCAACAACTCATACGATGGCTGGTACGAAGTGGATTACGATGATTCATTCTGGTCTGATGCTGTCGTAGGGAGGAGAGAACGCGATAACATTCACGTCATGCCCGGGTTCAAACCTGCTTTCTGGATTATCGATTATACCGACAATAATTACTCTGGATATTTTTACTGCAGAAAAAGTTTCACAAGTGAATAATTAAATGTTTTCTCATTAAAATTTGTAGTTACATAAAAACATGGGTGAATAAATTTATTAAATCGTATTTCTTATACATTCGGGCGCAGAGTTTGTCCGAGGAGCAAAGTGCGATTTGTATAAAATCCATCCATAAGGCAGAAGTTCCATGCATCACGTTAACTAAAAGTGTTACTGACTGTTCTACATCTGTTCTTAAAGTTTTCGTGAATACCTCTAATTTAATGCTCTCCTCTTGTTATTGCTTTTGAACACTTTGTATTCTTCTTACTTATCATGCACGATATTAATTTACTTAAGCTAATCTGAATCAAATTTTTTAATCTGAAAGATTGAGTGAACAGGCTGATTTGAAATCACACATCCGAACTAATTATAATTGATATATTATCATCATTGACTGATTGCATGTATATGAGATTGATCATTTATTTTCGTTATTAACTGTTAGAAGTTAAAAGACAAACTGAGGAGCTTATCTTTCAAGGACTCAAATTGTATGTTAAATAAAATTTGAATCTTGAGAATTGAAAATGTACGAATAACGTTGTTTTTAATGACAACCATTTTATCAAACGTTTCATTAACGCATTTGAATATGTATTAATAATAGTAAGTAAAGTCGATCACGAAAAATTTGAAAATCACCGAGCAAATAATAACAATTCTACTTTAAAACTTCATTGCTCTAGATTTTTCTAGCTGTTCTAGCGAGCATTCAAATTGATATAAAATCATGACAGGTTCCTAACAACTGCGATGTTCTTCGAATCTGACTTTTCAACCAACGTGGCAGGTCCCTATCTGCATAGTGATTAATTAGATCAGGCAGACGTTTCAAGTTTCAAAACTCAAAAAACTCATGCTACTTAGTGCCGTATCGCAATAGGAATGTTAAAAATTTTTTAAATATTAAGAAACAGTACTATTACTGACTGACGAAGGAATTGTATTTACACAACACATGTAGTACAGTAGACATCAATAAATATGTTCAAAATTATAACGATTGTACAACATCTGAAAAGTATTTTGCTAGTTTAAAAGAAAATTCGGCAATAGAATGTTACCATGCTAAAAACAAAAAATGCAATATATTGGTGTAATCCTTGATTAAATAAACTATTATGATATAAATCGACAAATCATTCTCTGTGTTGGATGTGATCAGAATATCGGAATGTAGCTGTCAATCTTTGTCCTGTGACGCTGTGACACACACTCAGCTATCCACACGATGTTCCTGTTCTCCTGCTCCTTCAGTTTAACGAATGCGTAGAAGATGCCAAAATGAAACTGATTCATGAAAGCATTTTTCATCAACTTAACCTGCAAAAGTTAATAATTTATATGGAAACCATTGCATAAACTTGAAATATGATACAACTAGCAAATCATTAACATAATTTAAAAAAAAATAGAATACAAAGTAATGAACATAAAAATGTCAACGAGCCTCATGCTCAAAGAACTTATCCTCCAGTGTCTTATCTCCCTGCGTTTCGTCAAAAATCTGCTTGTACTCCTGAAAGGTCAGTTTGCAAGTTTTCAACAGACTAATTTAAAATTACACAATCTACAAACGAATGTGATTAAAACAAGTAACTTAACAGGGGATAAAAACGGTCTCAAACATTATATTAGACAAGGCAATGTATTAAAAGCAGATCCACAAAAAGACACCGTAAACATCTTCCCATAACTATTACAGATACTTAGGTACTAGATATACAGAGAAAACAGTTTAAAAACCTGAACTGAACACTAAATGAAAAATAAAAGCAGAACAGCAGAACTAACGGCATAGAACTCAGCAACAGATTTAACTTGATCATAATCTTCAGCTCGTGCCAGGGCGGCCAGCCCATCAGGGTACAACTTGCCCATGCGAGGGTACAACTTGGCCCTCTCATCCTTTGAAAGTTCAGTCCCAAACGAGTTGATCGTGATTATGAAGGCTCTCCTGTCTGCTTCAAACTGAATATTATTTGAAATCATTATCTTGCAAATATTGTTTTGTAAACATCATTCTGTAAACGTCATGTAATAAACAGTTTAAATTTACAAAAAAGCAATCTTAAAATTAATGCACAAAATGAATAAATCACATTTATGCTTTATTTCTATATTCCCTTTAAAGGAAAATACACTGGATATTTATTTATCTTGCAACAATATTACACTCAGTATAAAACGAATGTTTGAACGATGCACATGTCACGTCACTTGAGGACATGTTCATACAAATATGATCCTAAAAATAATGCAGAAATATATTCCATTTATTTATAACTTGAATTATTTGCATTTCTGATGACAACCTCAAGAGCTGTGGACATCATCTCTGCAGTTGAATCACCAAGTGTTTGACAGAATTTGTAGAAATCTTCCAAATAAGCCTTTGAAAAAATATAAAAAAAATTTATTTTAATGAAACTGTTAGTAGAAGCAATTCTCAAATGTAACTGCACAGCAGATGCTAATTATGAGCTGCATGCATGTACAATGTGTGCACTTAAGATAATTTTCAGAAAACCTCAGATCATTTAAAATAATGAGAAAATAATCACGTTGATGGTGTTAGAAACGATTGATGGTGACAGAGATGATGAGGATGATGACAATAAAGGTTGTAGATACCAGCCTTGTAGAGAGTGTTTCTTATTATCTCTATGTTCATTTCATCCAAATCTTGTTCAGAAATGCAGTCAATAAAATATGGAGCTAGATGAAATTTTCAATATTCAACTTAAAATCAATGAAAACCAGATATCTAGCAAAAAATTAAAAAATTTATTAAGGTTAAAAAAGCAAACAAAAAAAAAGATGTCTGACGTCTTACATACCAAGAGGTGTATCGACCAGAACAGCATTGTAGAGTTCAGCAGCATTGGAAGCAATGTGGATGGCTTCCATCTGTTCAAAACTTCCAAGTGGATGACACTTTGGGATAAGTTCAGAGATGGATCTCTGGTGTAGTGTGCCAGTGATTAGCAGCACAATGTTGTCAATCATGTAACTGTAGCTAATGTCAAAAGTTTTATTTTTATATTATTTAATAGAAAAATTATTTAATTATACCGTAAAAAAAAACAAACAAACAAAATTTTTAAACATTATCATAATAAAAATTCATTAAAATTTTCAAATTTCCAACGTTATATAGTCAAGAAAGTTGGACAGTGGGGGGAGAGAATGATTTCTTATGTGTTGAAACTCCACAACCAGCTTTTCCTTCAACTTGTCATCAATGGTGCCAACCTGTATCGGGCTGGCTTCGTTTGCCAGGAAGTTTCCATAGTCAGTGCTTTGTAAATGCAACTTCAAATCTGACAATAATAAATAAGATTATCATTATTTGAATGACGTAATATAAAAAATGGGAATACTCAGTTGGGTTTTAAATTTTTGGCTCATGTGATATGAATAAATGAAATATAATTTCAATTTAAATTTAATTATTTTTAAATAAAAAAAAATACAAAAATAAAATATGTAATGAAATCATGTTTTTAAATTTTTAAATTAAAACAACGTTTAACAGAATATTTTATTTCATAAATAAAAAAAATGAATATAATTTAAAATTGAAATAAATAAAGTGAAATAAATTAAAAATAAATTTAAAAAAAGTAATATCCACCTTCCAATGTCTCACACTGGATCAAGTTGAGATAATCAGACTGCTTGAGGATTCCTGCTTTGAAACCTCGCAACAATCCTTCCAAATAACCGAAATTAAGATTGAAATTCAAAGAATTCATTTTTTACTTAATTAATTGGTAAATTGTCAACAAATTATTGCTCAGATTATAATAATATTATTACGATTAAATGTAAAACCAAAGCAAGAAAGTGATGTGACAACTTCTGAATGAAGCAAATTATTTTGATACAGTCGGTTTAGACCGGTTTTGGCTGGTTCGAGTTTAAATTCAGAATTCAGAGATTGATTTAATTGCTGATTTATTTCAATCAAAGTTGCAAATAATTTCTATCGTATAAAAAATATAAAAATATAATAAAAAATAATAAAAAATAATAACATTTAGACTTGAGTTAATGTAATATTTCCACTTTATTCAAATTAGGGGCCGTCCATAAAAGATGTCACGCTTCAAGTGCTTCAAGTGTGACGTCCCTTTTTTAAATAAACAAAACAATAAATTTTCTTTCGTATATATATGCGCATAAATGAATATTAAAGTTTTCAACCGAACAAATAGCATGTAAACTTGTCATTCGTTATTTTGATATCCATAAAAAAATGCATAGAACAATTACGTTGTTTAATGACTCTTCATTAAGAGGAGAGGGGTAATGTTTTGTGACGATCTTATTTTGAGGGAGCTGGTCGATTTGTGCAGAGTAAAATACCGCCAACAAATTCGAACGCTAACAGCAATTGTTTCAACGTGAGTCATCAACATTTTAAAGCACAATGGATGGATAGATAGATACATGGATATACAACGTAAATGTAGAGGAGAGAGGGGGAAGAGAGAAAGGGAAACCAGAAGAAAAGGTACGAGAGAGAGAGAGAGAGAGAGAGAGAGAGAGAGAGAGAAAGCTAAAGAAAAAGAGACAGTATAAAGAGATAGCGAAGGGAGATACAAGGTAAAATAGAGTGAGAGAGAGAGGGAGAGAAATGATCCAATATAAATGAGAGATAGAGAAAGATACAGGATATAATATTGAGGAAGAAAAAGAGATGCATGATACAACATTGAAAAAGATACAAGGTACAATGTTGATGGAGAGAGCTCGCGGGAGAAAGACAGAGAGACAGACAGACAGACAGACAGATAGATAAATATATAGATAGATGGATAGAAAGGATGCTACTGATTGACACAAGCTAAGTAAGTACTTAAAATTGTATTTAAAAATTTTTAATTGTTGACATTACTACAGTCGTTGCTGGCTATTTTATTTCAATAAAAGCGTGAGAATGTTCGTAGTAAGGTTCCAGTAACAACTGACACGTCATCTTTATCGTTTATTAATCTTTAATCAAAATGAAATAGCATTATTAACCTTTGAGTTTCATATCGTCTGCTAGCTAATTAACCAATCTAATGAAAACTACTCTTACTAGAGTATGAACAAAGTCAATTAATAATAATTGAATAACAATGTTAACTGCTTAATTATTAATAACATTATAAGCATAATTGTAAGATCAGAACAATTGTACCATATATCATTATACAGAGAACGCTTTTATCACGTGACTGAGATAGGATTTTAATACTGAAGTTAATTATTTTATTAGCATATTAGCTGTTGGTCTGACTTGACCATGTCCGGTGTGGTGTCGTCAGGGGTAGCCGGCGTGCATACTGCCTGAATTAAAAGTTGAATTATGATTAGGAATTGTGAATTATTTTGAATTAGGAATTATAAACCTTAAAGTAAAGCAAAAACCAAATGAAAGCTGAAACCAAATAAAAAAAAATTTTTGTAAAATAAAATACTTAATCGAACCAAGTAGTAACTGAAAAACTCGTATGAAAGTTTATCCTACATACACTATAATAACTACAGCTACGTCATGTGTCGTCATAAATACATAATGTAATGTGTGCGTGTGCGTGCGTGCGTGCGTCCGAATGATTGCCGTACGATGTAAGTGCTGCCTCTCTCGCTCGTCTCACATCGTATCCTTATTCAAGTTGGAACATTTTTATAGTTTTTTTGCTTGTTTCTGTTTGTTTTGTTCTTCATTTTTTTAATTATAACCGACATGACAGCTATTATTACCCTTATAAAATTATTTAATAGAAAATAAAAAACCAACATATAAAATAGAAGAAGTTGAGTTGTTTGGCTGCTGTTTCCAACCGACAATCCATCTAGTGGAAACTTTATGGAGCAGGTTCTCAAACTCATGCCGGCACTTTTTCAAAATAGGTGAAGATCGTTGTTATGCAGAACAAGAGAGGCAGACCGATGGATGGGAGATGGAAACATTCATGCTCACGAATGCGTACTCTGTCCTGCATGAAATCATTATCTTTTCCTGTTTAAATAACAACTAAAGTTTTGGCTAAAAAATGATTTTAATATCCAGACTAATATCATCGATATAAACGAACGATTGATTGTTTAAACGGATGAACGAACGAACGAACGAATGAATGAATGAATGAATGAATGAATGAATGAATGAATGAATGAATGAATGAATGAATGAATGAATGAATGAATGAATGAATGAATGAATGAAACAATAAACAGATGGAAGAACGATTAAAAAGATTGAGTGAAAATATGAACGAATGAATGATTAAACGAAAAACAAACGAAACTAAACCTTACCCGGAAAATCGTCGTTACTGCAGTTCATTGCACCGACCCTATCTGAGCTGCAGCCAAAATGTTCTGCAAGCATGCCCATTCGGTCATGTATAACACCCAACATCGTGTGTTAGGAAGCGCCGAAAAGAGTGCGTTTTCTAGGCAGGTATGCAACCATCAGCGACGAGTTTGTCACATTAGAAACAAAGTAAAATAAACAAAAGCTGACTCAGACTCTGGTTTTCATAGCAATTTTAGTGAGCATTGCTAACCATTTTAATCATCATCAGAAGAAGAAGAAGAAAAAGAAGAAGAAAAGAAGAAGGAGAATAAGAAAAATAAAAAATAAAGTAGGATTCTGATTCATTATCATCATCATCAGAATAATAATAAGAAGAATAAAAAATAAAATATGACTCCGATAAATTATCATCATCATCAATATAATAAGAAAGAGATATAATAAAAACAATAATAATAATAAAAAGAAGAAGAAGAAGAAGAAGAAGAAGGAGAAGAAGAAAAAGAAGAAGAAGAAAAAGAAGAAGAAGAAGAAGAAGAAGAAGAAGAAGAAGAAGGAGAATAATGAAACATGTCAGCCACCGTCAGCGGCGAGTTCGTCCTGCCTGCACCGCTGCTTCGTTTTTGACGTATCAGTAGCGTTCGTATATAACCCCTCAACACCTCAAGCAGAGCCGACGCCGGATGCACTGCTGCACATCTCAGCCAGGCTTGCGTTCATTGCCACTGGAGGAACAACTATAGCGCGAGAGTAAAAGTAAACGTTTTATTGCTTACATCAAGGCCATTTCTGAACTTCCAAAATCAACAGCTCTACAAGCTTTCGTATGCCACCCTGAATGAATGAATGATTGAATAAATGAATGAATAAAAAATAAAAACTCAATATGATAATCAACATTCGATTAATAAAAAATTGACATCTGATTCATTTGCAACCAACCAACATTCAGTACACAAACAAAATATATATAGAGTCAGCATTATATAACTTATATTATATAACCGCGCAACTCTATATAACACTATATAACCGCGCAACTCTATATAACCGCGCAACTCTATATAACACTATATAACTCTATATAACACTATATGACTCTATATAACTCTATATAACCGCGCAACTCTATATAACACTATATAACTCTATATAACACTATATGACTCTATATAACCGATAAACTCTATATAACACTTCACAACCGCGCAACTCTATATAACACTATATAACTCTATTTAACCGCGCAACTCTATATAACACTATATAACCGCGCAACTCTATATAACAATATATAAATCTATATAACCGCGCAACTCTATATAACACTATATAACTCTATATAACCGCGCAACTCTATATAACCGATAAACTCTATATAACTGTACATAACCGCGCAACTCTATATAACACTATATAACTCTATTTAACCGCGCAACTCTATATAACACTATATAACTCTATATAACCGCGCAACTCTATATAACTCTATTTAACCGCGCAACTCTATATAACACTATATAAATCTATATAACCGCGCAACTCTATATAACACTATATAACTCTATATAACACTACATGACTCTATATAACCGATAAACTCTATATAACTCTATATAACACTATATAACAATATGTGTATGCATGAGTGGGTGAACTCAACTTCAGAATCTTCCCCACTGCCATGCAATCTCCATTGCTCCAGCCTCCGTCTGAGTGACGCACCGACCACAGTCTGAAGCCATACGGTTGAAGATGAAACCTCTCGACTTGCTCCCAACCAGAATGTTACACCTGCTATAAAAATAATTATTATTTTAATAACGCAAATAAAAAATAATAATTTTTAAATTAATATCGCAAAGGAGAAAAAAAATCCAACAATTCCAACGTTTGAGACGTACATCTGACTGACTCGGCACACAGCACCATCATCTTCCGAACGGCAAAGTATCACTCTTGAACCAACATCATTTCCGGCATGTCGTGGTGTTAAGAAAAATATCATTTAAAATCTTATTAATTACCAATTGTAAAATAATATTGAGTGTAATGTACTCTGACTGTGTGTCATGTATTGCAATGTTTGGTGTGTGTGTAATGAAATGTAATGTTTGGTGTGTGTGTGTGTGTGTGTGTAATGTTTGGTGTGTGTAATGTTTGCTGTGCTTAATGTTTGCTGCGTGTAATGTTTGGTGTGTGTAATAGCGACGTGAAACAAAAACAAAAACACACAAAAATCAGTAAGTGAGAATTATAAAGAATAGAAGTCACCTACCTACCTACAGTAAATTAACTCTTATGCCTTAGCCTACCTATGATAACAATTAGCTCATCTCAAATCTAACCTACTTATGATCAATTAACTCATCTTAGGACCTAGCTTACATATAATCAACTACACTTAAACTCATGGCGTCGTCAGCCAGGTAGAGAGGAAAAATTTCAAGAAGTTAGAAGACAAACATGACAACTACACAAAACAAATGAATGTATTTGTGAGTGTGTATTGTAGTAATGCGTGCGCGCAGTGTGTATGTATGTGTGTGTGTATTTATGTGTGTGTGTGTGTGTGTGTGTGTGTGTGTGTGTGTGTGTGTGTGTGTGTGTGTGTGTGTGTGTGTGTGTGTGTGTGTGTGTGTGTTGAATGTAAAAACTTAACCGCAGGAATCTTCTCCACAGCCATCCAGTCACCATCTGAGACGCGTTATTCACCAGCCATCTTCTGAGGAAAAAAAAAATTTTTTTAATTCATAATGCAAATGAAAGTAAATTATTTCATGCATGCGTGCCAAGTTATGCCAAAATTTCATTTGATTCCCGTTATAAATGTAAAACCGAGTTGTGTTATATCGAAATTAATATTATCTCCTCCACTAAATTAATCCTGCCACTACTGCTGTTGCATCTGTTACTTTTATAACTGCTACTACTATTAATAAAACTGCAGCAGCAGCAGCTACTACTACTACTACTACAAGCTACTACTACTACATTTACTAAAGTAAACTTATCAGCGCGTTATAACACATAGCAAAAAAGGCCCATCCTATTTTTTTAAATGTTGGCAAGCCAGCCATCATACATGTTTACGTATTAATTACTGCTTGTACTATTAAAATACAACTACCACTACTACAACCACTACTACTACAACCACTACTACTACAACCACTACTACTACAACCACTACTACTACAACCACTACTACTACAACCACTACTACTACAACCACTACAACCACCACTACTACAACCACTACTACTACAACCACTACTACTACTACTACTATTACTGTCGTTACTCCTGCACTACTACTGCTGCTAAAATTACTATTATTATTACTGCCAGAGCTTTAAAAATAAAATTATTAGCACGTTTTAAAACTTCTTTTTAACTCATACGCAAGTAAAATAATATTACAATGTCTTATTTTTTTAGGAAACATTCGGCGTACCAACGGGTAAACGTTTATAGAAAAAACTTTCTACCATTACAACCTTCACCACGCAGTTTAAATCGTTACGATCTTTCTTCGGCGAAACTTTACGTTTACATAAGCGCCTCAACGCAAACAAAATTCGAGTATTGAATAAGTTATATTATTGATGAGTGCATCTTCAACCAATTTGAATTTCAAGCCACGGACTTGCGTACGCAACACATTCAGCCATTTAGTAACTAACATTTTGCAATGTAATGAGTAAAAAGGTTAAAATGCGCGCAAATAAATGCACAGAAGTTTATTTTAATTTCAACCGCACATAACTATTTGTTACTTTAGTTTACTATAGTGCCTACAATGTAATAACTTTCTCTTTAAAAGCGTACCGAAATTACGGTTTTAACCGTAGGAAGTTGTTAAACAATTGATAACAGCTAAAAATTTCTTATTTTTAACAATTATTTTCAGTATTTCACTTTAAATCATAAATATTTTTATAATTCTAATAATTAACAGTCTCAACATCAATTCACTTTTAGACTATTACTTATCATCTCGAATTTGGATTGCGTTGAGGCACTAGTGTAAAGTTTGCCATAATGTAATAAAAAATGTGATTAAACATGAAGAAGGTGAAGGAGCCAATTTTATAGTTTGTCCCCGGGCACAAAATACCTTTGCTACGCCTCTCTTTGTGTGCGTGCGTATATGTGTGTGTGTGTATCTCAACCAACCTCCTCAGAAATCTTCTCCACTGCCATCCAGCCTCCTCCATTGCACACCGATCATCATTTGGCAATGACTATGAGACCATTAGACCTGCTAGAAGAAAAATTTCTGAATTTACCATCTTAAACGATAAAAATAATAATTTCCGAATTTAATATAACAAATAAAAATAATTTCTGGATTTAATATTGAAAATGAAAAAAAAAATTAATTAACAATTCTAACATTTGAGATGCAGTCCTCACCACCATCTTCCAAACGGCAGAGAATTAGTTGTGTTGTTGTGTCAGCATATGCTCTGACTCCTGCAACAGCCTCATCTCTCACGGATCAGATAGGGCAGGAAACCCGGAAAAAATATAAATTAAAATGTATGAATAAAATGAAGAATTAAATAATTGTGTGTAATGTTGTGTGTAATGTTGTGTTTGATTGTTTTGTAATGTTGTGTTTGATTGTTTTGTAATGTTGTGTTTGATTGTGTTGTAATGTTGTGTTTGATTGTGTTGTAATGTTGTGTTTGATTGTGTTGTAATGTTGTGTTTTTCTGTGTGTAATGTTGTGTTTGCTGTGTGTTTGATTGTTTTGTTAGTATGTGATGATGATGTGAAACAAAAACTAACACATAACAATCAATAAATGAAAAGTAGCAGAAATAGAAGATACCATAAATTAAAGTCCCTAGCTTACCTATAACAATTAGCTCAACTCAAATCTCACCTACTTATGATCAATTAACTCATCTTGGGCCCTAGCTTACCTACTTTAAATTAAACTCAACTCTTGGCGTCGGTCCAGTAGAGAAGAAAAGTAGAAGAAAGTAGAAAACAAACATGACAACAATAACACCGAACAAATGAATGTTATGCATGTGTGTGTGTGTGTGTGTGTGTGTGTTGTTTGTTGCGTTTGCTGTGTGTAATGTGTTTGATTGTGTGTAATGAATGTTGTGTTTGTTTTTGTGTAATGTTGTGTTTGTTTTTGTGTAGTGTTGTGTTTGTTTTTGTGTAATGTTGTGTTTGATAGTGTGTAATGTTGTGTTTGTTTTTGTGTAGTGTTGTGTTTGTTTTTGTGTAATGTTGTGTTTGACTGTGTGTAATGTTGTGTTTGAATGTGTGTATGGTATATGTACGTGTATGTGGATGTATGTATGTACGTGTATTGATAAATGAGTTGGCAAACGTAAAAAAATCTCTACCTCAAAAATATTTTCTACAGCTGGTTTTGTCGAAAGCTACAGCAGAGTTTGAATGAACTGAACGGCCGGGAAACATTAGAAAGCCAACATTTGGTGGAGATTTTCTTTTAATACAACTCTGCCGGTTAGTATGTTCATGTTGATAGGTTTAGTTTATTAATGCTCTTTTAACGTTTAAAAAACATAACGATACAACCTCAAAGAAAACATTATTAATCTAATATTAAAATGCTTTCAAAGCATTCCACTGAATATTATTATATCAAAACATCTAGCTTAACTTATTAACTAGGCTGCTTTAAATCACTTTCTCTCCCGAGAGGTACTAGCCTCAAAATAGCTTAATAAATTTAATAATTAATTGTTATCGAAACATAACAAC